GCTGGCTAATTGTGCTCCCGGTCGCGGCCAGCTACGACAGAGTCTGGATTCGAACCAGGATCTCTAGTGGCACAGCCTTAGACCACTGCGCCACTCGGGAGATGTATTAAGGGTATGTCTGTCTATCTGTCTCTCTGTCTGTTGACTCAGGTACGATGTCGGACCTTGTTCAGCACCTCTTCCCGCCCTCTCAGTTCCAAGGTATCACGTGTCATTAACCTTTAGCTACCTTGGCTCCCATTCCACAGCCCTGCCCTGTGTACAATAGTGCCATCTACTGGCCTGGCTGGCTGGGTGTGCTTCTTGCTCTTGCCTCATCTTACCTATGGCTTTATTTGGCAGTGCTTTACTCTTTAGGTAGATTGGCTCTTTACAAGTAAATTGGCTGTACTTCAACAGCAGTAGTCTTTAATGTGGACCCGGATTGGCTTAATTGGAGTTGCGCTTTGGCTCCCTGGCATAGATTTTTAAGTGGCATGCAGAGTGATGTGTTGGGAGAGAGAGAGAGAGAGCAGCGAGAGAGAGAGAGGAGAGAGAGCAGAAGCGAGAGAGGAGGAAGAGAGAGAGAAGAGAGAGAGAGAAGCGAGCGCGCGAGAGAGAGAGCGAGAGAGACGAGCAGAGAGATACGAGAGACGCGTAGAGATCGATCTCTGAATATGACGCTAGTCTCTCGCTATCTATATGACTCTCTATATCTCTCTCTTCTCTCTTCTCTCTCTCTCTCTCTCTCTCTCTCTCTCTACACCCCTGGCAATTCATGAGTCAATCACACACTTCATAAGGATGACTTCCACTTCGGCTGGTTACGTACGTGTGGCATGGTCTTTCTTTCTTTCATGTAGTCCAGTAGTAGTATGTTGCTGCATTAAAGCTTAAATGTGTGTGTTTAACTGGCTTTGGTCTCGGTTATAATGGCTTCTCTAGCCTATCAAGAGATGCTGCTCAATGAGAAATTGAATGGAAAATAATCTAGCAAAAGAACATCAAATCAAATTTTATTTGTCTCATACACGTGTTTAGCAGATGTTATAGCGGGTGTAGCGAAATGCTTGTGCTTCTAGCTTCGACAGTGCAGTAATATCTAACAATTTTACAACATATACCCAATACACACAAAAAAGTAAGGAATGGGATTTAAGAATATATACATAGATGGACAAGCAATGACAGAGCGGCATGGACTAAGATACAGAATAATATAATAGAATAGAATGCAGTATATACATATGAGATGAGTAGTGCAAGATATGTAAACATTATTAAAGTGACTAGTGTTCCATTTCTTAAATTGGCCAGTGATTTCAATAGGCATCAGCAGCCTCTAATGTGCTAGTGATGGCTATTTAACAGTCTGATGGCCTTGAGATAGAAGCTGTTTTTCATTCTCACGGTCCCAGCTTTGATGCACCTGTACTGACCTCGCCTTCTGGATGATAGCGGGGTGAACAGGCAGTTGCTCGGGTGGTTGATGTCATTGATGATCTTTTTGGCCTTCCTGTGACATCAGGTGTTGTATGTGTCTTAGAGGGCGGGTAGTTTGCCCCCGGTAATACGTTCGGCAGACCGCACCACCCTCTGGAGAGCCCTGCGGTTGTGGGTGGTGCAGTTGCCGTACCAGGTGGTGATACAGCCCGACAGGATGCTCTCAATTGTGCATCTGTAAAAGTTTGTGAGGGTTTTAGGTGCTAAGCCAAATTTCTTCAGCCTCCTGAACATGTGTGAATTACTTTAATAGCATCCAGTTCATTTAATGGTTTTCCAATTAGGCAGTGATATTTACGGCTGATGAGACTTGTCCCATGAGAGATATATGCTGGCTAAACACAGAGCTACTGCAATGTACTCATGCATAGTGGAATAACTCTGTTGAGCAGAGTTAAAGAATAGTCTTATATTACCCATCTTTACAAAAAAATAAAAATAAAGGTTATCTTTAGAACTGTGGAGTTCTATTCGTTCTGAGAAAGGCTATGATTTGTAATTTCTGTAAAATGTAATTTTTCGATGCCTCCTTTTTTAATTACAGTTTGAAAATGTCACTCCGGTCCTGTCTTTTCGGTCTAGTACAGTGGTTCCCAACCTTTTATGATTACTGTACCACCAATTGAATTATGCTCTGCCCGGAGTACCCCTGAAGTACCCCCTCATGGATTTTACCAGTAGGCCTATGGTCTTATGAGTCTTATCAAGTACCCCTTGTGGGCAGCCGTCACGGAACCTGGACAGCTTGTCAGATGTGCGTCCCAAATGGAACCCTATACCCTATATAGTACACTACCAGAGCCCTATGGGCCATTTGGGACACAGCCTGTCAGAGTAAAGCTGCCGTGGAGGGACGGATAGAGAGACTGCTGAGCCCAAATGGACTCTTGCTGAGGTGTGTGTGTGTGTGTGTGTGTGTGTGAGTGAGTGTGACTCGCAAGCGACGGCCTGTCAGACCCTGCTAAAGTAACCATAGCAAAATGGACGCAAAACACAAAGGGCAAACACATCAAGTCACTCGCTCCGACTGACTCGTTCAGTCATCAGAATGCACAACCACGTAGTATTACCAGTAGCCAAACCTTCTGGAGAGAATCAGTAACATGATAAGTGGGTTTAGTGGTTTGAGAATGACATGTGGCGGCTTTGTTGACTGGCTGACTGCAATAAGCAGATACACACACACACACACACACACACACACACACACACACACACACACACAGGCACAGGCAGGCAGTGTGAAGCCCAGCCCAGCACAGGGTATTGTAGAAGAGATGGTTGTGTGTCTGTTTTGCTGATTTATTTCAGGTGATTTCTGTAATGCATCTCTGTCTTCCACACGCCTGCCTGCCAGGCTTCCAGGTACACCAGCACATCCATCACTACTCCATGCATGCCTCTATCCCCACTAATGGTGCATGCTAATAGCCATATCAAACCAAATATGGGCCCGGGCGGATCGACGGTGATATTATTAAACGCAGGTGTCCTGTACAGTTGAGGAATGCCTGCCAATATGGTGCAGGGTTTATGAGGTGATTAGCTGAAGCAAGGCTTTGGTGAGAATCAGAAGACAAGGCGGTCTGGGTTTATGTGTTGGGATGGAACATCAACTGTGTTGTAGTAGGAAGGTCATGGTTTGTCTGTTTGGATTTATACTGTCGTTTCTCTGATGTTGATGCAGAACAATATCAGACAGAATCTATGGAGAATATTTGTATGTTTTATAATGGCACACAAAAGCATTGTCGTTTCAAAACTGCACTTAATTGCACTTGAAAAATATGTTTAGAGTTTAGATAAAAACATAATCCACAATAATCAAAGTTATTGTTAATGAACAAAAAATACTATCTGGCTCGAAGGACCGTTAGCACCACCTTGTTGTTGGAGGACTCAGTTAAACCTGATCATGTCTTCTCTATTCATCCTCTAGTAAGTCTATCACCCTGTCCTCCACATTTCACCTGTTCCCTTCAGGTATTGCCTCTATCGCCCTGTCGTTCGTGGACCCTCAAGGATTCCCCCTGCAGGTTCTTGCCCAGGACTGCACTACACCACCCAGAGGAGACCCCTCCACCATCCTCCTACAGCCAGAACAGTTTGACGCCCTGACAACTGTCATCAAGGTGGACTCCAACAACCTCCGCTCAGGTAAAGCCCAGTAGGGTTTCTCTAGAGATCCGGGTCCGGATCCGGTTTCTTATTGGACTTTCAGACTATACCTCTCTGTTTTGTACCTATGAACATGACCCAGCCAGGGTAGCCAGAGCAACCATTGGTGGAGTTGTTGCTGTCTATTTTTCTTGTTGAAGAGTGTCATAAAATGTGTTTTCTATTGTGTGCTGCATTGTCTATTTCTTCTATTAAAAGTGCACTATGCAGTAATCACTCCGCCATTTCCTGGTTGCAAAAATTCTAATCGTTCGCCTAATTTCAGTTTATGTGACAAAACAACAAAGTATAGTGTAGTGCCTGCATCATTGTACCATCTAAACTACTGTGAAATATATTTTCCATAACCAAAGATATTGTATTTTCAGTTGTTTGAAGATGGTGTACAAAACCGAAAGTAAAAGGCGCAAAAACTAAACTTCAGAACGGGAAGCATAGAAATAGTGCACGTTCTTAGACTTGCTCTCAATGAGAATGACAGATCTATAACTCCCATTTCTATGTGAATTTGGTCAGGTCGCCCAAAAAGTGACACATTGCAGCTTTAAGCGATTTAATTAAATCAATTGTTGACAAACTCAAACTTCTTAAAGCACCATTTCACAAGATGGATTCGTTAATAAACAGAGCAATAAGTCCTACGTAATGGTCTCACTCTGGAATTAAAATGCGAAGTCACCTTGAGCAGGACAGCTACATCTGTCTGCATAATGATGGTCATTGCATAATGTTACAAATAGTTTTAATTCCCTCTTTCTTTTGATACAGGGATTGTTTTTTGTCAATGTGACATTGAATACATTTAAATTACACTTTTTTTTGTTTAAAGAACTTCAGCAAAATAATTCAGTGCATAAAACATTTCTTATTTGCATATAGCTAACGATTTTAATTGGAAAATATGATTTCTGCTTCCTAGTTTGTTTGAGAAAATTAAATGAGTTCTGAGAGTAAAAATAGCCTCCTCTCTCGTGTGGTAATCTAGTGAATCATCATGTGTTTGTGTAGGGTTAGCAATCAGAGGCCCACTACCTGAACTGTTTAAATCTGCTGGGCCTTGCTCTACAGGGCTGTCATCATTAATCAGGTGTGTTCTTCGGTCTGCACTAGCCTGGTCCCAGATCTGTTTGTGCTGTATAGCCAACTCCTATGGTCATAGTCACAATGTGCTCATTGCCAAGACAGCACAAACATAATTGGGACCAGGCTAGTTCAATGACCATAGGAGTTGGCAAGACAGCACAAACAGATCTGGGACCAGACTAGTTATACACATGCTCAGTGCTATGTTCATCAGTCCGTTGATCATCTGTTCTTCCTTTTTCCTGACAGGGTCAGAGATGAGGGTACGATTTGACATCTGGGAGCAAGGTAACGTTTCCCCCCTCCAGCTGACTGACAAGCTGCGAGGAGCCCTGCGCCATGCCCTCTGTGATGTCATCATGGAACTGAGGGTCCTGCCTAATCCGCTGTGTCTGGAGACATTCTATACCACTCCTGGGAGAGATCAGAGAGAAGACACAACTAACGGTGAGGAATTACTACTATTACAGTACCTGCACAACAAATGTGAATGCATTATTGTGAATTCAAATTGTTGTTTAAAATGGTAGTCTATGTTTATTAATCAATCAATCAATCAATGTTATCGGGCAGCCGAGCGGAAATGGAAGAAAACTAGACTCCCTGCGTACCTGTCATCTTTCCACTCCCTCCTCTCTACATTATTTTCCTCCGTTTCTGCTGCTAAAGCCACTTTCTACCACTCTAAATTTCAAGCCTCTGCCTCTAACCCTAGGAAGCTCTTTGCCACCTTCTCCTCCCTGCTGAATCCTCCTCCTCCTCCCCCTCCCTCCTCCCTCTCTGTGAATGACTTCGTCAACCATTTTGAAAAGAAGGTTGACGACATCCGATCCTCATTAAGTCAAATGACACCGCTGGTCCTGCTTACACTACCCTACCCTATGCTTTGACTTCTTTCTCCCCTCTCTCTCCAGATGAAATCTTGCGACTTGTGATGGCCGGCCGCCCAACAACCTGCCCGCTTGACCCTATCCCCTCCTCTCTTCTCCAGACCATTTCCGGAGACCTTCTCCCTTACCTCACCTCGCTCATCAACTCATCCTTGTCCGCTGGCTATGTCCCTTCCATCTTCAAGAAAGCGAGAGTTGCACCCCTCCTCAAAAAACCTACACTCGATCCCTCCGATGTCAACAACTACAGACCAGTATCCCTTCTTTCTTTTCTCTCCAAAACTCTTGAGCATGCCGTCTATAGCCAACTCTCCTGCTATCTCTCACAGAATGACCTTCTTGATCCAAACCAGTCAGGTTTCAAGACTGGTCATTCAACTGAGACTGCTCTTCTCTGTGTCACAGAGGCTCTCCGCACTGCTAAAGCTAACTCTCTCTCCTCTGCTCTCATCCTTCTAGACCTATCTGCTGCCTTTGATACTGTGAAACATCAGAACCTCCTCTCCACCCTCTCCGAGTTGGGCATCTCCGGCGCGGCTCACTCTTGGATTGCGTCCTACCTGACAGGTCGCTCCTACCAGGTGGCGTGGCGAGAATCTGTCTCCGCACCATGTTCTCTCACCACTGGTGTTCCCCAGGGCTCAGCTCTAGGCCCTCTCCTATTCTCTCTATACACCAAGTCACTTGGCTCTGTCATATCCTCACATGGTCTCTCCTATCATTGCTACGCAGACGACACACAATTCATCTTCTCCTTTCCCCCTTCTGATAACCAGGTGGAGAATCGCATCTCTGCATGTCTGGCAGACATATCAGTGTGGATGTCGGATCACCACCTCAAGCTGAACCTCGGCAAGACGGAGCTGCTCTTCCTCCCGGGGAAGGACTGCCCGCTCCATGATCTCGCCATCACGGTTGACAACTCCATTGTGTCCTCCTCCCAGAGTGCAAAGAACATTGGCATGACCCTGGACAACACCCTGTCGTTCTCTGCTAACATCAAAGCGGTGACCCGATCCTGTAGGTTCATGCTCTACAACATTTGCAGAGTACGACCATACCTTACACAGGAAGCGGCACAGGTCCTAATCCAGGCTCTTGTCATCTCCCGTCTGGATTACTGCAACTCGCTGTTGGCTGGGCTCCCTGCCTGTGCCATTAAACCCCTACAACTCATCCAGAACGCTGCAGCCCGTCTGGTGTTCAACCTTCCCAAGTTCTCTCACGTCACCCCGCTCCTCCGCATACTCCACTGGCTTCCAGTTGAAGGTTGCATCTACTACAAGACCATGGTGCTTGCCTATGGAGCTGTGAGGGGAACGGCACCTCCTTACCTTCAGGCTCTGATCAGTCCCTACACCCAAACGAGGACATTGCGTTCTTCCACCTCTGGCCTGCTGGTCCCCCTACCTCTGCGGAAGCACAGTTCCCGCTCAGCCCAGTCAAAACTGTTCGCTGCTCTGGCACCCCAATGGTGGAACAAGCTCCCTCACGACGCCAGGACAGCGGAGTCAGTGACCACCTTCTGGAGACACTTGAAACCCTACCTCTTTAAGGAATACCTGGGATAGGATAAAAGTAATCCTTCTAACCCCCCCACAAAATATATTTTATAATAATAATAATAATAATAAAAAGATTGTAAAGTGGTTGTCCCACTGGCTATCATAAGGTGAACGCACCAATTTGTAAGTCGCTCTGGATAAGAGCGTCTTCTAAATGACGTAAATGTAAATGTAAATCAGGTTCATCCTTTGTCTATCTCCACATCTTCTCTTTAGGTCGTTTAAGTTCTCCTCCATTGGAAGTGAAGGAATTTAAGCACAGCTTCCTGCCTCGTAGTGGCATTAGGAGTGTTAAGAACAGCCCCTCCCCAATCACTCTGATCCCTCCCCCCTCTGGGACCAGCCGCAACACCGGACCAAGCACCCCCGAGTCTACCACACCCACCGGCAAAACCACCCGCCAAAGCTTCTGGGAAATACTGGTGAGTTCTCTTTCATTGAAAGTGTGACGTGTAGTCTCCCGAGTGGCGCAGTGGTCTAAGGCACTGCATCGCAGTGCTAGCTGAGCCACTAGAGACCCATGGGGCGGCGCACAATTGGCCCAGCGTCGTCCAGGGTAGGGGAGGGAATGGCCGGCAGGGATGTAGCTCAGCTGGTAGAGCATGGCGTTTGCAACGCCAGGGTTGTGGGTTCGATTCCCAGTATGAAAAATAAAAAAAATAATGTATGTACTCACTAACTGTAAGTCGCGTCTGCCAAATTACTAAAATGTAAATGTAAATGTAAAAGAGGATTGTGTCAGAAATGGCACTCTATTTCCTAATTAATAACTTTTCTATTTCTGGTAGTAGTGTACTGTATAGGGAATAGAGTGCCATTTCAGAATATTTCATCAAACATGTCTGTTTCTCAACTGAGTTGGTTCTGTCAGTGCTACATCCATCTGAGATGAACATTAAATCGATATTTGGATTATGAACCACCATGTTGCTGTTTGATTCACTAGTAAAGAGTGATGACGAAATGTTGATCCTCCCTGCAGAGCAAGCCAGATTCATCTGAGCTGGGGATCCCTAAGACGACTGAGGACATCGTTCAGGAGAAGGGGGAGGAGGGTCGGACACGTAGGAGACACAAGACAGAGAACATGAAGCAGCAGTGGAGCCAGGAGAAGGGGGAGGAGGGTCGGACACGTAGGAGACACAAGACAGAGAACATGAAGCAGCAGTGGAGCCAGGAGAAGGCCATGGCTGTAGAACTGGAGCAGGCCCAGAGGTTAGCAGAGACACAGAAGAACACAGGCTGGATTTAGATCTGGGTTAAAATAGGATCTGTTTTCTTCCAAATACTTTGAGCGTTTTATTTGGGCAGAGTTTGAACTATTCTATTGGTTAAATTGCGACAGGCAAGCTCAATCAAGTGCAGCTGAAGTATTTGAAAGACAGAAAATACCACTTGAACCTAAGTCTGGTCACCACTGTTAAATGTGGAGTTTGTCAGCAGTATTGCACTGTTTAATGGGTGTGTGTATGTTCCAACAGGAGACACGTGTCCCAGCTAGAGGAGGGGAACGTTGGGACCCTACACCCTCTGTACCAGGTCACCTGTCAGCCCTGGATCACCTTCATGGCTAAACTTGGTGAGTGGCTGCTCTGCCCTCTCCTTACCCCTCTCCTTATTTCTGCTGGAGTGGAGAGGAGACAGGAGAGGAGGTAATATAAAGGATTGTCTGCTTCCCAAACTGATTGTCTGCGTCCCTTGATGGGCTCTGGTCAAAAGTTGTGCACTGTAAAGGGAATAGGGTGCCATTTGGGACAAAGCCATCATCTGCTATCTCTTCTCAGTGAGAGGCTTTCCATTTTCTCTATTTCTTCTCCTTTTCTCTCGCTCTGGTGTAAACAGGATGCCCGTCCATTCAGCAGTGCACCGCTGAGATTGCCTCCCAGTTCCTGCTTCCTCCCATCCTGACAGATATTGTCAATTTGGTCAGCTCCCTGGCCAGTGACACCACAGTCAAGGTGTTCGAGAGGATAAGGTGGGTCATTTTAAAGAATCAAGTCAATCACTGGAAAGAATCACGCATATGAATATGTGTGCATTATTTTAAAAGCTTCCAGCTAGTTTGGAAAGACTGTATATCAGGAACGCATGTATATACATACCGTATTTTCCGCACTATAAGGCGCACCGGAGTATAAGCCGCAGCAGCTAAATTGAATGATATTGAATGATGTGTACATATATAAGCCGCACTGGACTATAAGCCTCAGGTGTTTTAATGTTTAATTACCATATGTAAGGGTTCATGCACAGAGGGGATTGTCGGGAAAGAGACAAACTGTCTCGCTCTCGTAATGTCTGTCTGTCTTGCTCTCGTTCTGTCTCTCGTTCTGTCTCTCGTACCACTCTCGGTTCCACTTTTACTTTTGCGCGCTACCTGTCTCACTCTTTTCCGGCCTCCAGCTTTTCCTGCTGGAGCCCGCCGCTTAAAGGTGGGGGGCGCGGACCGGTCATAGAGCCCATAGAGTTAAAGTTGGTGGACTGTAACCTGTAAAATCCATAGATTTAGGAGGTCTTTTAGTGGCCGTTAGCTGTAAAAATCCATAGATTAGCCGCACCGTTATACAGTGGGGAAAAAAAGTATTTAGTCAGCCACCAATTGTGCAAGTTCTCCCACTTAAAAAGATGAGAGAGGCCTGTAATTTTCATCATAGGTACACGTCAACTATGACAGACAAAATGAGAAAAAAAAATCCAGAAAATCACATTGTAGGATTTTTTATGAATTTATTTGCAAATTATGGTGGAAAATAAGTATTTGGTCAATAACAAAAGTTTCTCAATACTTTGTTATATACCCTTTGTTGGCAATGACACAGGTCAAACGTTTTCTGTAAGTCTTCACACACTGTTGCTGGTATTTTGGCCCATTCCTCCATGCAGATCTCTTCTAGAGCAGTGATGTTTTGGGGCTGTCGCTGGGCAACACAGACTTTCAACTCCCTCCAAAGATTTTCTATGGGGTTGAGATCTGGAGACTGGCTAGGCCACTCCAGGACCTTGAAATGCTTCTTACGAAGCCACTCCTTCGTTGCCCGGGCGGTGTGTTTGGGATCATTGTCATGCTGAAAGACTCAGCCACGTTTCATCTTCAATGCCCTTGCTGATGGAAGGAGGGTTTCACTCAAAATCTCATGATACATGGCCCCATTCATTCTTTCCTTTACACGGATCAGTCGTCCTTGTCCCTTTGCAGAAAAAACAGCCCCAAAGCATGATGTTTCCACCCCCATGCTTCACAGTAGGTATGGTGTTCTTTGGATGCAACTCAGCATTCTTTGTCCTCCAAACACGACGAGTTGAGTTTTTACCAAAAAGTTCTATTTTGGTTTCATCTGACCATATGACATTCTCCCAATCCTCTTCTGGATCATCCAAATGCACTCTAGCAAACTTCAGACGGGCCTGGACATGTACTGGCTTAAGCAGGGGGACACGTCTTGCACTGCAGGATTTGAGTCCCTGGCGGCGTAGTGTGTTACTGATGGTAGGCTTTGTTACTTTGGTCCCAGCTCTCTGCAGGTCATTCACTAGGTCCCCCTGTGTGGTTCTGGGATTTTTGCTCACCATTCTTGTGATCATTTTGATCCCACGGGGTGAGATCTTGCGTGGAGCCCCAGATCAAGGGAGATTATCAGTGGTCTTGTATGTCTTCCATTTCCTAATAATTGCTCCCACAGTTGATTTCTTCAAACCAAGCTGCTTACCTATTGCAGATTCAGTCTTCCCAGCCTGGTGCAGGTCTACAATTTTGTTTCTGGTGTCCTTTGACAGCTCTTTGGTCTTGGCCATAGTGGAGTTTGGAGTGTGACTGTTTGAGGTTGTGGACAGGTGTATTTTATACTGATAACAAGTTCAAACAGGTGCCATTAATACAGGTAACGAGTGGAGGACAGAGGAGCCTCTTAGAGAAGAAGTTACAGGTCTGTGAGAGCCAGAAATTTTGCTTGTTTGTAGGTGACCAAATACTTATTTTCCACCATAATTTGCAAATAAATTCATAAAAAATCCTACAATGTGATTTTCAGGATTTTCTTTTCTCAATTTGTTTGTCATAGTTGACGTGTACCTATGATGAAAATTACAGGCCTCTCTGATCTTTTTAAGTGGGAGAACTTGCACAATTGGTGGCTGACTAAATACTTTTTTTCCCCACTGTACAAGCCGCAGGGTCGAAAAATTGGAAAAAAGGCGCGGCTTATAGTCCGAAAATTACGGTACATAAGCTCATAAACAGATTTTACAAACTTCATCTTTCAAGCCAGTTTTGTAAGGATATGTTTTTATATATAATTACTTTATCATTTGTGTTTTTGTTTGGTCCCCTAGTTGTCCCCAAGGAGACATCTTTGTTCCCCTGCCTCTGATCCAACACCTCAGCCAACCACCTGCCACCTCTAGAACCTTCATCCTCATTGGACGGAACTTCCACCAGTGGCATTGCAGCACAGAGCAAGGTACCTGCGGTAGCCAGAGTTCTATTATCCCTGTGCTCTGAAAGAAGTCACTCTTAACTGCTTGCTTGATCCATGATTTTGTTTGCTTATTTGATTCATGGAGTTAAACATAATCATTGCCCTTTTAAAGTATTTGATGCTCATTTTATTCACCTTAAATTATGCCCCATTTCCTTATTTATTTTTTAGAAAGAAAAACATGTGGAGGTACCTTTTTCCTCTCTGTAACTTTGGAACGTGTAGTTAAAAATCTGGATTGTGTGGTCAAACATGCTTTACTAAATTACTTTATGAAAGCACCAAATTGAGAAATGAAAGTAATAATACATCAGTATAATAGAGAGATATTATTATGATGCTAACAGCTAACATGCAGACCATAGCAGAACTGGGCACAAACCCAAATACTCTATTCTAACCCAACCTGGAACATTTCTAGCTATTTCCAAATTACTCATCTCATCAACTAATTTCTTTACACTTCAGAAACAGCATGCATTTCAATGGCATGTTTCTAATAACTATTGCTAATTATTAACTGTAGATGAGGGTAGAAGTACATTATATACACACAGGCAGCATTGTTTCTAAGCTTAGTGTGACATGACATGCTTTCTCTGCTACTGTTCTGCACTTGGGTTATCTCTCTCTGTCACTCTGACAATCAAAGCAACCCTTTTCAAACTTTTAACTGTCTAACATTTCTTTATTTTGAAAGCTTATCTGTGTCTGTAGCTTTAGCTTAGTGTGTCTGTGTAGCTAGCACCTATAGAGCTGTCTGTTGTCAGTGCCTGCATCCTGTCAGTGCCTGCATCCTGCCAGTGCCTGCATCCTGCCAGTGCCTGCATCCTGCCAGTGCCTGCATCCTGCCAGTGCCTGCATCCTGCCAGTGCCTGCATCCTGTCAGTGCCTGCATCCTGTCAGTGCCTGCATCCTGCCAGTGCCTGCATCCTGCCAGTGCCTGCATCCTGTCAGTGCCTGCACCCTGTCAGTGCCTGCATCCTGCCAGTGCCATGCTGTTTGTTTGTGCTCATCTCTATTTGCCCACAGAAGACAGTTCAGATGATGAGAACACCCCTGTGCTTAGTAGGTTCACACGTAAGTCTGACTCTGCCCCCCTCCTCATAGTAGGTTCACACGTACAGTTGAAGTCGGAAGTTTACATGCACCTTAGCCAAATACATGTCCTTAAGCCATTTTGCCACAACTTTGGAAGTATGCTTGGGGTTATTGTCCATTTGGAAGACCCATTTGCGACCAAGGTTTAACTTCCTGACTGATGTCTTGAGATGTTGCTTCAATATATCCACATACATTTCCTTCCTCATGATGCCATCTATTTTGTGAAGTGCACCAGTCCCTCCTGCAGCAAAGCACCCCCACAGCATGATGCTGCCACCCCTGTGCTTCACGGTTGGGATGGTGTTCTTCGGCTTGCAAGCAACCCCCTTTTTCCTCCAAACATAAAGATGGTCATTATGGCCAAACAGTTCTATTTTTGTTTCATCAGACCAGAGGACATTTCTCCAAAAAGTACGATCTTTGTCCCCATGTGCAGTTGCCAACCGTAGTCGGACTTTTTTATGGCGGTTTTGGAGCAGTGGCTTCTTCTTTGCTGAGCGGCCTTTCAGGTTATGTCGATATAGGACACGTTTTACTGTGTATATAGATACTTTTGTACCTGTTTCCTTCAGCATCTTCACAAGGTCCTTTGCTGTTGTTCTAGGATTGATTTGTACTTTTCGCACCAAAGTACGTTAATCTCTAGGAGACAGAACGCGTCTCCTTCCTGAGCGGTATGACGGCTGCGTGGTCCCATGATGTTTATACTTGCGTACTATTGTTTGTACAGATGAACGTGGTACCTTCAGGCGTTTGGAAAATGCTACCAAGAATGAACCAGACTTGTGGAGGTCTACAAAAAAAAGGAGCATTTTTTTTTTCTGATTTATTTTGATTTTCCCATGATGTCAAGCAAAGAGGCACTGAGTTTGAAGGTAGGCCTTGAAATACATCCACAGGTACACCTCCAATTGACTCAAATGATGTCAATTAGCTTATCAGAAGCTTCTAAAGCCATGACATCATTTTCTGGAATTTTCCAAGCTGTTTAAAGGCACAGTCAACTTAGTGTATGTAAACTTCTGACCCACTGGAATTGTGATACAGTGAATTCTAAGTGAAACAATCTGTCCGTAAACAATTGTAGGAAAAATTACTTGTGTCATGCACAAAGTAGATGTCCTAACCAACTTGCCAAAACCATAGTTTGTTAACAAGAAATGTGTGGAGTGGTTGAAAAACGAGTTTTAATGACTCCAACCTAAGTGTATGTAAACTTCCGACTTCTACTGTAAATTTACCCGCAGCCAGCCCCAACCAAGCAACACTAGCTCTGGGCTATTCTGGTTTCATTGAGATTATTTACCTGTTGAGCCTCATAGAATTTGCCCAAAACATAATGGTGAAAAAACGGAATCTCTGCTGCATATATACAGTGCCTTCAGAAAGTATTCATACCCCTTGACTTATTCCACATTTTGTTGTGTTACAGCCGGAATTCAAAATTGATTCAATAAATAAAAAATCTCACCCATCTACACACAATAACCCATAATGACAAAGTGAAAACATGTTTTTAGATTTTTTTCTAATTGATTGAAAATGAAATTCAGAATGATCTAATTTACATAAGTATTCACACCCCTTTGCTATTACACTACAACTTGAGCTCAGGTGCATCCAATTTCCTTTTGATAATCCTTGATGTCACTACAACTTGATTGAAGTCTGCCTGTGGCCAATTCAATTGTTTGAACATGATTTAGAAAGAAACACACCTGTCTATGTAAGGTCCCACAGTTGACAGTGCATGTCAGAGCAGAAACTATACCATAAAGTCCAAGGAACTGTCCGTAGATCTCAGAGATACAGTAATAATTGAGAAATAATTAATCTGAGAAAGGGTATAAAAAAATGTCTAGAGTGTTGAAAGTTTCTAAGAGCACAGTGGTCTCCATCATTGGGAAATTGAAAAAATATGGAACTACCCAGACTGCCTAGAGCTGGCCGTCCGACCAAGCTGAGCAACCGGGCAAGAAGGAGCTTGGTCAGGGAGGTGACCAAGAACCCAATGACCACTCTGACAGAACTACAGAGTTCCTTGGCTGAGTTGTGAGAACCTACCAGAAGGACAACAGTCTCTACAGCACTTCACCAATCTGGGCTGTATGGGAGAGTGGCCAGACGGAAGCCACTCCAGAATAAAAGGCACATGACAGGACGCCTGGTGTTGCAAAAAGGCACGTGAAAGACTCTGAGAGCATAAGGCAAAATATTCTGTGGTCTGATGAGACAGAAAATCAGGCACAACTCATCACCCAAGTCCTTGAGTGACCCAACCAAAGCCCAGACTTAAATCCCATTGAAAAACTGTGGAAAGACTTGAACATTGCTGTTCCCCATCTAACTTAACAGAGCTTGAGAAAATCTACAGGGAAGAATGGGAGTGAATCCCCAAATCCAGATGTGCAAATCCGATACAGACATACCCAAGACGACTCAAAGCTGTAATCACCGCCAAAGGTGATTCTACAAAGTATTGACTCAGGGGTGTGAATACTTATTTAAATGAGAGTTCTGTATTTCATTTTCAATAAATTAGCAAAAATGTATAAAAACATGTTTTCACTTTGTCATAATTTGGCATTGTGTGTAGATGGGTGAGAAAAATAATCTATTTCATCCATTTTGAATTCAGGCTGTAACACAACAAAATGTGGAATAAGTCAAGGGGTATGAATACTTTCTGAAGACACTGTAGGTCATTTTTGGAATGTAAAGCTTTGTACTCAATGCTTAGCTGTATACATGGTGTGAGCTGTGCATCATATCATGTTGCTTAATACGGATGACCTTATACCTGTGAATATGAAGAGTTCACAGTTTCCTCTGTCTCTTCTCCCTCAAACTGACTTCATATTTAAATTCCAAATATCAAATCAAATCTCACAATTTCTGCTTTCATAAATGGCTGCATTTTATCTTAAAGCTTAACTCTCTGGCTGTCTGGAAAAGTAATTTTTTCTGCGACACTAAGTCTATTTCTTAGAAAATGAAAGGTTTTATTCTTCTCCTGCTTTAAAAGCAGTAGCAGACTAGCCCCATGCACGCCTCTCAGGGTGGCTCGGTGAATAATTTTATGCAACTGGCCCTGGAGGCTTAGAAAACCTTAATGAGATATTTTGCTGACTATGTCCTAAATGGCACCCTATTCCTTACCTAGTACACTACTTTTGACCACAGCCCATAGCCTCTGTCTGCTAGGATGTAATGAGAACCGTTTATGATTTGAATTTTAATAGCTTCATATTTAAAATTCACTTTCCCACCATAGGGTAGCTGACTATCCGTTTAGTCATATACTCTATGGTAAATAAGATATGAAATATTCTGATGCAAGGCATTAAGGTCCCCTTGTTAAATTGATTCTCAGCCTGTCTTATCTTAGAGACATGGTTTGGCTCCGCTCAGGTCTCTCCTGTCCACTGTCTGTATGCTCCAGGGTTGGTTATGGTCAATTATATTTAAATTAAGAAGTTAAATGGAAATTCCAATTCCAATTGTCCTCATTGCTTTTCGATGAAGAACATTTGGAAATTAAATGTTGGTTGATTTCCTGAATTGAAATGGAATTGACCCCAACCCTGGTCTGCGTTCCCCCTTGTGGCCCACTCTCACTGTCTTCCCTCCCTGTATGTCCAATCAGCTCATAAAGGCTTCCAGCGCTTCGAGGCCTTGGATCAGTCTGATTGGTTCAGCCCAGGGCAGTCCTGGAGGGGCGTGGCCCCAAGGCAGAGGATTCTCCTAATACACATCCTGAAGAAGAAGGTGAGGAGAAGAGGCGTGTGGGGGAAGTGTGTTATTATTATAATTATTATAATTTTTGTTATTATAATTTTTTATTTTATTCGGATCCCCATTAGCTTTTGCCGAAGCAGCAGCTATTCTTCCTGGTGTGTGTGTGTTCCTGGTGTGTTCGTGGGAGTTGCCTATAACAAGAGATGGCACAATTTATCGGGATGTTGCTCCATTTTCACTCAAACGCTGTATGGGGTGGGTTGATCTCTCTCTCGCCTTCTCCAGGTGACCCTGTACACCTATAACTGGTCAATGGACCTAGGAGCCTCTCTGAATCGTGGGCTGGTGAGGCTGGTCCAGTGGCAGAACGCCAGGGCCCACGTTCTCCACTGTCTCCTCAACCAGAAGATGGGTCTCTTCCACCACTGCTGCTTCTCTGACACACCGGCCCACGAAGACCTCAAACAGGTCAACTTTTCTCACTCTCGTGATCAGAATCACCTTTACTCACCAAGTACAATTAAATGTACCAGAAATTTGAAGTGGTTCTGACATCACCTTACAATCCACTGTCAATCTCACACACAACAATCATACTTGAATGAGTGTTAGATTGTAACCACAGTCTAACACTCATACACACACACCAAGACTATCACTTAAATCAGACACACCTGCCCACGAAGACCTGATAAGGTAAACGCTCAATCTCACGCACGGCACAGCCATCTGCTTTAATTCATCACAGTCTAACACCCTTTGATGCACCATAACTGTGGCCTATAAGTATACATCATATTAAAGTTATGCCACACACAATCTATGGATGGTACAATGTTAGGATTGGGACCATTGTCCTGGTGGCTTATAAAGGTTAGGTCAGTCAAGGGGAATCAGTCTGTTAGTTATGGTGCATCATGCAGGATTTACCCCAGTGTTTTAACCAAAATGCTCAGACTCTTTCCATCTACGCGGGCCAGCACCCTTGTCTCACTGGGCCATGGCTCCGGAGGACCTGCTTTCACCTGGGGCCAAAGCCAGGCCACTGGTACATTTCAGCTTGCATTTACATAACAATGGCCAACTGTGAACTTTAACACCTTTTCACAAAGCAACTGTCTTGGCGTTGTTGATTCTGCTCTCCCGAAGTTCTTAGTGTCACACGCCTAATGGTAACACAATTACCAGAGTTTAGGTTAACATAAAACACTGGCAACACACTGGTGTCGAGGTAAGTCTCCATGGAAATACGGCATTAGTGTTAGTGGAGCATCTGGTGGTACAGCAGGTATAGCCCAGGCCACTCCCGAGGCAGGTTACACACAGCTGTCAGCTCCTGATGGTGGGACGGGGATTCCTTCCACACTAGCATGTACTGTACCTGCTCATTGCTTTTCTTTTATGTCCCCTTCTCACTCTCCTCTGCTTTGTCGCTTCTCCTCATAGCTAAACTTGGGAGGCAGGGTGTCTTGTCACTAAATCCCCTCCTTCATCTCTGTTTCTCTCTGAGTTTTAAACAGCAGTAGTTTAAAACCTCTGCTATCAATAGTTTGTCACTTCTTTTCTTTGTACTTTACATTCAGTTCTTTCAGCCCTCATTGGAATTGCATTGCAAGGAGCTGCAGTGTTAAGCTAAATGTGGAACTACAGTTACAAAATGTACAATATCATATACTTGGAATCTCCAAGACGTATGCATCTGATCTTCCTGAATCCATTTGCACTGTTTTAATATTCATAGTGCACTACTTTTGACCAGAGCCTTTGATCCCTGGTTAAAAGTAGTGCACTAAATAGGGAATAAGGTTCCATTTGGGATGTTAATTGTACTGAGTAGATTCCCCTTGGTCTTTAATACAGAACATCACCATGACCTAGTTTCCCCCCTCTCTCTGATCATCTCCCTCCCTCCCTCCCTCCCTCCCTTCCTTCCAAGGTATGACATGTGAGCACCGAGGCCTTCATTCCATCTTCTATTCCACTTTTTCACCTTTTCAGCAAACATCCCCGTCAGCCTTGTATCTCTGAATCATTTTGATAAGCTCCAGGAGAGGAGTGGAGAGAATGACTGTTTCCCAAATAGCACCCTATTCCCCTATGTAGTGCACTGCTTTTGACCCGGACCCATAGGGAATGGGGTGTCATTTGGGACACAGTTGAGGAGCGGAGAGAATCACTCAGCTCTCTGACTTCACGGCCCGTGTTTTTAGTTCCGTAGCTCTAGGGTCAAAAACAAAGAATGCCTATAATTTCTGAGCAGTCTGCCTGAATGCCTGAATACAAGAGACGAAAGATAGGAGAGAGGTATTTTTAGGGCTTTTAGATGATTTTTCTAAAAGAATAGGCACTGTTCTCTGCCACGTTACTTTTCTCTGGGAACATAAGAGGATACACATATTGCATTTTTGTTTAACAACAGTGTTTTTGAGGTCATAACTGTGATATATGGGAGAAACATCCTTCCAACATTTTGTCAGTAAATAAGTGCAAGACAACCAATTACAGTGTAAAAAAGTCAACTAAAATGAAAAGAAAGGAAATGTCCCAAACTTTTTCTCTATTTCCCTCTCGATGCCCTCACTCTTAATCGCCTCTCCACTAATGAATGAGGACAGAAGGCAGAGTCAGAGCGGTGGAAAATTTGCCCGCGCAGACCGTCATCTGTCACTGTCCTGATGAGGAGCACAGTGGGCACCAGTGCCCAGTTCAACCCCCCTCACCCCCTGGGCACGAGACAGACAATGGACAGAGGGCTCTGCCCATAGAGATCCTATTAAATTATTATTCTAATTTCTAATTCTATGGCTTTGCCACACTGGGGCATCTGGGCCGGGCCCTCTTCTTCCTCCTAGGCCATTGCCCCGGTCCTGCCCAGCAGCCATTAAGCTGCTCTCTTGAGCTAACTTGCCCAAAAGTTCCCTTTAGTAGAGGGGGGGGGCATGGGGATGAGAGCATATTAGCTGTGCAGTGTAAATCAGGACATGCTGTCCATGAGTCCATGCACCATCACCAAAGCGTCACCACTCCTTTGGGTTAAGTATAATCCCTGCTACAGTTTGAGTCAAGGGCTCAGTCCAGTTTTATAAGGCTTTTAAAGTAGATCATGGTTTCAGCCCTACCAGAGTTGGTCTGTACATTTGATGTTGATAAACAGATACTGTAGTTTATGAAAAGATGGGTTTCTGGTGTGTTGTTCTACCTTTAGGTTTATCTAATATGTGTGTACAACTTGTCTTCTGATTAGTTAATTTATTACACAGAGGAATATGGAGTTGGAATTCGGATTTGTCAGATATGAGTTTGAAACCCAATGGCTTTGGCTCATTGTGTGTGTTTAATACAAAAATAATGTTCATGGTATGTTCACCAGAAAGTTACTTGTTCAGTAACTTGTAGAAAACCTCACAGCTTCTCCGCCTCCCTCACTCACTCCATCTCTTTCATTTCGCCTCTCATTTTCTTCTTTCTTGCTCTCCCTCTTTCTCATCTCTCCATCTCTATCGCTCCCTCTCTAATCTCCTCCTTCTTTCTATCAATTCCTCTCTGCCTCTCCCTCCATCTCTCTGCCTCTCCCTCCATCTCTCTGCCTCTCCCTCCATCTCTCTGCCTCTCCCTCCATCTCTCTGCCTCTCCCTCCATCTCTCTGGCACCCTCTAGTCGTCTTCTCCTTTTCTTCTCTCCCTCTCTCCATCTACAGTATCTCTCCCTCTCTCCATCTACAGTATCTCTCCCTCTCTCCATCTACAGTATCTCTCCCTCTCTCCATCTACAGTATCTCTCCCTCTCTCCATCTACAGTATCTCTCCCTCTCTCCATCTACAGTATCTCTCCCTCTCTCCATCTCTCTTCATCTACAGTATCTCTCTCTCTCTCTCTCTCTCTCTCTCCCTCTCACCATCTCTCTCCATCTACAGTATCTCTCCCTCTCTCTCCCCCTCTGTCTCTCTTGCTCCTTTCTCTCTGCTTCTCTTTACATCTCCCTCTCATCGAGATGTAGTTGTCCCCGATTGCACTGACTTTGCTCACAACTGCTTGTTTGAAGAAGTGTACTTACTGTGATCAAGATGTGGTTGTCCCACTGGCTATCCTAAGTTGAATGCACCAATTTGTAAATCGCTCTGGATAAGAGCGTCTGCTAAATGACTTAAATGTAAATGTAAATCTACTTCCTCACTCTCTCTCCCAGCAGGAGCCCAACCCGTTCCTGAACCCGACCATGGAGGCGGATGCCCTGCTGAGGAGCCCGGTGCCTAGCAAGGACCAGGGCAAGCTGTTTAGCGCCGTCCGCTCCCTGGCCCCACTCCACTTCCACTCGGAGCTGGTGCCCTTTGACGAGGCCCTCAGGGACTTGGGGACGGGCCGCCCCCTGGCCAGTGCTCAGGACGGGGCTGACGTGGTGGCTCGGCATGGGACCCAGCTACAAGAGGTCAAGGCTTCAGAACGCAGAGGTCAGATATAGTCCCTGTATATGAACACTAATGATGTACACTACCAGTCAAAAGTTTGGACACACCTACTCATTCAAGGGTTTTTCTTTATTTTTACTATTTTTTAGATTGTAGAATAATAGTGAAGACATCAAATCTATGAAATAGCACATATGGAATCATGTAGTAACCAACAAAGTGTTAAACAAATTTAAATATATTTTATATTTGAGATTCTTCAAATAGCCACCCTTTGCCTTGATGGCAGGTTTGCACACTCTTGGCATTCTCTCAACCAGCTTATTGAGGTAGTCACCTGGAATGTATTTCATTTAACAGGTGTGCCTTCTTAAAAGTTAATTTGTGGAATTTCTTTCCTTCTTAATGCATTTGAGCCAATTGTGTTGTGACAAGGTAATGGGGTATACAGAAGATAGCCCTATTTGGTAAAAGACCAAGTCCATATTATGGCAAGAACAGCTCAAATAAGCAAAGAAAAACAACAGTCCATCATTACTTTAAGACATGAAGGTCAGTCAATCCGGAAAATTTCAAGAACTTTGAAAGTTTCTTCAAGTGCAATCGCAAAAACCATCAAGTGCTATGATGACACTGGCTCTCATGAGGACCGCCACAGGAATGGAAAACCCAGAGTTACCTCTGCTGCAGAGGATAAGTTCATTAGAGTTACCAGCCTCAGAAATTGCAGCCCAAATAAATGCTTCACAGAGTTCAAGTAACAGACACATCTCAACAGCAACTGTTCAGAGGGGACTGTGTGAATCAGGCCTTCATGGTCAAATTGCTGCAAAGAAACCACTACTAAAGGACACCAATAAGAAGAAGAGACTTGCTTGGGCCAAGAAACACGAGCAATGGACATTAGGCCGGTGGAAATTTGTCCTTTGGTCTGGAGTCCAAATTGGAGATTTTTGGTTCCAACCGCCGTGGCTTTGTGAGACGCGGTGTGGGTGAACGGATGATCTCCGCATGTGCAGTTTCCACCGTAAAGCATGGAGGAGGAGGTGTTATGGTGTGGGGGTGCTTTGCTGGTGACACTGTCTGTGATTTATTTAGAATTCAAGGCACACTTTACCAGCATGGCTACCACAGCATTCTGCAGCGATACGCCATACCATCTGGTTTGGGCTTAGTGGGACTATCATTTGTTTTTCAACAGGACAATGACCCAACACACCTCCAGGCTATGTAAGGGCTATTTGACCAAGAAGGAGAGTGATGGAGTGCTGCATCAGATTACCTGCCCTCCACAATCCCCCGACCTCAATCCAATTGAGATGGTTTGGGATGAGTCGGACCATAGAGTGAAGAAAAAGCAGCCAACAAGTGCTCAGCATATGTGCAAACTCCTTCAAGAGTGTTGGAAAAGCATTCCAGGTGAAGCTGGTTGAGAGAATGCCAAGAGTGTAGGGTGGTATTTGAAGAATCTCCAATATAAAATACATTTGGATTTTTTAAACACTTTTTTGGTTACTACATGATTCCATATGTGTTATTTCATAGTTTTGATGTCTTCACTCTTATTCTACAATGTAGAAAATAGTAAAAATAAAGAAAAAGTCCAAACTTTTGACTGGTACTGTATATGAGGTCAGATATGGTCCACTCCACTCCATACCCACCTACCGCTCTGAATAGTACATACTGTACTGTCTAATAAATTATAATGTACATTATCATGTAGTAAATTGATTTCTTTGTAATGGTTGTCTTGTATGTATGCCATTTTTTACTGTTTCATTAATGAAACCTTATTTGTGAATTAAGGTTAATGTTTTTCTAACACCCAATGTCAATGTGTTGTTAAAGGTTTAAGGAGGGTGCTTAAAGCACAGGATGCACTAGCTATGTTCATTTGATACAAGGTGAGCCACAGCAGTCCATCCGCAGCCAGACAGGCAGTAACCGAGATGAAGTAGCCAGCTATACTGATTGAGGAGATGTGGGTAGTCAGTCCTTGGCTCTAACAGAGACAGACAGTGCCATGCAGATCCAGGCAGGAGGCTCACGGCCTGGCTGATAGCTGTTAGCTGCTGGCTCTGAGCTTTGAGGGATGGTTACACGTGCTACATGGCCCTGGGTACACTAGGTGTCCTAAATGGTACCCTATTCCCTTTATAGTGCACTACATTTGACCAGATCCCTATGTGTAGTGCCCTATAGGGAATAGGGTGCCATTTCTGACGCATGCATACTTATCCCCATTCCCCACCGCTGTGCTGTGTGACTGAAGAGTGTTTGTGTGGTTTAATCTCCATGTTGACAGAGATGGAGAAGCAGATGAAGATTGAGAACCTGTTTGTGACTTGGCAGCAGAGGTCAGCGCAGTCCAACATGCCCATCTCAGTAAGTACCACAGCCATTTTACACACACCAGAGTACTACAGCCATTTAGCCATTTCCCTCCCCCATCAAACGCCTATGGACGCACACACGCACACACACACACACACACACACACACACACACACACACACACACACACACACACACACACACACACACACACACACACACACACACACACTAAGCATCTGAGCTATCTATCTTGCAAATACATGGTTCACACATGCTGGCGGAGTACACACACAGCGACTCTCATTCAAATCTCAGAAAATGGCATCTCTCCATCTCAAACACATTTACACACATTTGCATGTGGGCGCAAGTGCTTGTGTGAAATTGGTAAGAGATGTATCGAAGAGCTGCTATGCTGTCAGGAATATGGGGGTTTTATGCACTGTAGCTAATTGATGTATATTTCACTCTTGCCATGTTGTACTAGTCTGGGACTTTGGCACAGAGAAATAAATAGGAGATTATTTTTAAGTAGTCCCCATTTTAAATATTCCAACTAATTCACAAAGGTTGCAAGCTGGCAAGGAGCATTTGAAGAGCTTTAAAGGAGAGACGTTAACTTTTAAGTTGATATTACAGCAGGCATCATGGGACTGTAGAGTTGATATTACAGCAGGCATCATGGGACTGTAGAGTTGATATTACAGCAGGCATCATGGGACTGTAGAGTTGATATTACAGCAGGCATCATGGGACTGTAGAGTTAAATTACAGCAGGCATCGTGGAACTGTAGAGTTGACATTATTGTAGGATTCCTAGGACTCAGAAACACAAGCCCACCAGTGGTTTCACCAGAGGCACTGCAGCTGTAGATGTTTTTAAAACACTACATTAATTTCACAAAAATGCAATGGCTACCTTCATCATAAAAGAAAGATTGATGAAAACAACAGTCTCTTTCATCCCTAAATAACCACTAGTTACAGTATAGACCCCTCAAACTCAACTCTGGACCTCGAAGCCAGTTCCACTGCTTTTTTTCATTATTGCTCTCTAATCAGGGGGACACCAGGTGGATGCAATTCATTATCAGATAGAACAGAAAACCAGCAGGCTACGGACCTCGTAGTGTAAGTGTTGAATACCCCTGGTATAGACAGTCAAGAAAACACCACCAGTAGGCCTCATAAGTCACTCACACACCAGTCAGTCCCACTCAGACTCAGTCTAATGAGCTAGTGGTGGATGATGACATCGTCTATGTTCCATTTGTGTGCTCCTGCTCCCTCTCTCATTATGTCACCGCTCACCAGAGCAGGCTCATCCATTACTGGTCAGTCAGATGACTGTCTGGCTGCCTGACTTGGCTCCTCCACAGTGGGGGACCCCTCTCCCTTCACTGGCCCCTCAGGTTCCCAAGCATTATGGCCGTTGATCCCTGACTCAATCCCTGACTTAGATACAGTGAGGGAAAAAAGTATTTGATCCCCTGCTGATTTTGTACGTTTGCCCACTGACAAAGAAATGATCAGTCTATACTTTTAATGGTAGGTTTATTTGAACAGTGAGAGACAGAATAACAACAAAAAATTCCAGAAAAACGCATGTCAAAAATGTTATAAATTAATTTGCATTTTAATGAGGGAAATAAGTATTTGACCCCCTCTCAATCAGAAAGATTTCTGGCTCCCAGGTGTCTTTTATACAGGTAAAGAGCTGAGATTAGGAGCACACTCTTAAAGGGAGTGCTCCTAATCTCAGATTGTTACTTGTATAAAAGACACCTGTCCACAGAAGCAATCAATCAATCAGATTCCAAACTCTCCACCATGACCAAGACCAAAGAGCTCTCCAAGGATGTCAGGGACAAGATTGTAGACCTACACAAGGCTGGAATGGGCTACAAGACCGTCGCCAAGCAGCTTGGTGAGAAGGTGACAACAGTTGGTGCGATATTTCGCAAATGGAAGAAACACAAAATAACTGTTAATCTCCCTCGGCCTGGGGCTCCATGCAAGATCTCACCTCGTGGAGTTGCAATGATCATGAGAACGGTGAGGAATCAGCCCAGAACTACACGGGAGGATCTGGTCAATGATCTCAAGGCAGCTGGGACCATAGTCACCAAGAAAACAATTGGTAACACACTACGCCGTGAAGGACTGAAATCCTGCAGCGCCCGCAAGGTCCCCCTGCTCAAGAAAGCACATATACATGCCCGTCTGAAGTTTGCCAATGAACATCTGAATGATTCAGAGGAGAACTGGGTGAAAGTGTTGTGGTCAGATGAGACCAAAATGGAGCTCTTTGGTATCAACTCAACTCGCCGTGTTTGGAGGAGAAGGAATGCTGCCTATGACCCCAAGAACACCATCCCCACCGTCAAACATGGAGGTGGAAACATTATGCTTTGGGGGTGTTTTTCTGCTAAGGGGACAGGACAGCTTCACCGCATCAAAGGGACGATGGACGGGGCCATGTACTGTCAAATCTTGGGTGAGAACCTCCTTCCCTCAGCCAGGGCATTGAAAAAGGGTCGTGGATGGGTATTCCAGCATGACAATGACGCAAAACACACGGCCAAGGCAACAAAGGAGTGGCTCAAGAAGAAGCACATTAAGGTCCTGGAGTGGCCTAGCCAGTCTCCAGACCTTAATCCCATAGAAAATCTGTGGAGGGAGCTGAAGGTTCGAGTTGCCAAACATCAGCCTCGAAACCTTAATAACTTGGAGAAGATCTGCAAAGAGGAGTGGAACAAAATCGCTCCTGAGATGTGTGCAAACCTGGTGGCCAACTACAAGAAACGTCTGACCTGATTGCCAACAAGGGTTTTGCCACCAAGTACTAAGTCATGTTTTGCAGAGGGGTCAAATACTTATTTCCCTCATTAAAATACAAATCAATTTATAACATTTTTGACATGCGTTTTTCTGGATTGTGTTGTTGTTATTCTGTCTCTCACTGTTCAAATAAACCTACCATTAAAATTATAGACTGATCATGTCTTTGTCAGTGGGCAAATGTACAAAATCAGCAGGGGATCAAATACTTTTTTCCCTCACTGTATGAGAGGAGGTCACATCAGCACAGCAGACAGTGTTGTGTTCTGTCTGTCTCCCACTCCCTCCTCTAACACACACAGTCCTATCTACATCTCTGTCTGCCTGTCTATCTCCAGGCTGCACAGGGACGATAGATGATAGATGTGTCAATAAGAGTGATTGATAAGAGAGCAACAGATTAAAGACCGGATGAGATGAGCCATAACATTTAATCAGTCCTATTACTCTGTAGTATGCCCTGTCTGTATAGTGTTTAGTAGACGGTTTGATTGTGTCATTAGGAAACCGGTCATTGATTCTCGGTGGGTGTGTGTGTGTGTATTTACATGCTGGGGCTTTTGGTATCATTAACTAGAAGAATTCTCATTCGGCTCCAAGGACCATTAAATAAATAAAGAGATGTTTCCTTACTTTCCACAGGTGGTGGACTTGGACACTCTGAAGCAGTCATCCAGACTAGTGCACTATTGCGTCACCCCTCTGCTCTTTGACCCCGTGTTCAGGAAGCAGATCCAGGAAGAGCAGATTGTCCAACCTCAACAGGTCAAGGTACAGAAACCATGGCTGCTTTCCCTTGGGGCCTAACTAAACAAAGCTTTCTTAGTGTCCAACAAGCTTTCTCTGCCCTTAACCTTGTTCTGAACACCTCCAAAACAATGGTCATGTGGTTTGGTAAGAAGAATGCCCCTCTCCCCAATGGTGTGAATACTACGTCTGAGGGTTTAGAGCTTGAGGTAGTCACCTCATACAAGTACTTGGGAGTATGGCTAGACGGTACAATGTCCTTCTCTCAGCACAAATCCAAGCTACAGGCTAAGGTTAAATCTAGACTTGGTTTCCTCTATTGTAATCGCTCCTCTTTCACCCCAGCTGCCAAACTAACCCTGATTCAGATGACCATCCTACCCATGCTAGATTACGGAGACGTAATTTATAGATCGGCAGGTAAGGGCGCTCTCGAGCGGCTAGATGTTCTTTACCATTCGGCCATCAGATTTGCCACCAATGCTCCTTATAGGACACATCACTGCACTCTATACTCCTCTGTGAACTGGTTATCTCTGTATACCCATCGCAAGACCCACTGGTTGATGCTTATTTATAGAATCCTCGTAGGCCTCAGTCCCCCCTATCTGAGATACCTACTGCAGCCCTCATCCTCCACATACAACACCCATTCTGCCAGTCACATTCTGTTAAAGGTCCCCAAAGCACACACATCCGTGGGTCGCTCCTCTTTTCAGTTCACTGCAGCTAGCGACTGGAACGAGCTGCAAAAAAACACTCAAATGGACAGTTTTATCTCCATCTCTTCATTCAAAGACTCAATCATGGACACTCTTACTGACAGTTGTGGCTGCTTCGCGTGATGTATTGTTGTCTCTACCTTCATGCCTTTGTGCTGTTGTCTGTGCCTAATAATGTTTGTACCATGTTTTGTGCTTCTACCATGTTGTGCTACTGCCATGTTGTGTTGCTACCATGTTGTTGTAATGTGGTGTTGCTACCATTCTGTGTTGTCATGTGTTGCTGCCATGCTATGTTGTTGTCTTAGGTCTCTCTTTATGTAGTGTTGTGGTGTCTCTCTTGTTGTGATGTGTGTTTTGTCTTATATTTATATTTTTAATCCAAGCCCCCGTCCCCGCAGGAGGCCTTTTGGTAGGCCGTCATTGTAAATAAGAATTTGTTCTTAAGTGACTTATCTAGTTAAATAAAGGTTAAATCAAATTTAAAATAAATACAACTCAAACATCTCCTCATATGGTTGTTCACTTCTCTCTTACTTAGAAAGATGCCCTTAGTTGCAAAATGGAAACCATCCCAAACTTCCCAAGTTTTTGAGAAATCCTGGTAGGAGAATTTCCGTAATCAGGATGGAACAATCAGCAATCTTCCAACAGTCTTTCAACCAGAACCTCTGAAAAACCTGGGAACTTTGGAAAAGGTTTCGGTATTTTGCAACTTTAGACAAAGGTGGTCACAGTCTGATGAAACATCCCAGTTCACCTCTCCACTCCCGCTCTCCTCTCTCCTCTCCCCTCCCTCCTCTCCAGAAGCGTCATCGCTCCAGTGACTCCACGGCGTCTGGCAGGGACCGTAGCTACAGCACAGACTCAGCTGACATGCTGCCCAGCCGGCTGAGAGAGGAGCCCTGGCTGCAGGACATCTCTAACACCTTCCTCCAGCAGTATGTTCAGTACCTCCAGAGTATGGGCTTCATCCTGGTCCAGGTCCGGCCACAGTCCCCCGCACGCAGGTACGTCTTACTGACAGTCCATTGGTCCTCAACTCTCTAAACTATACTAGTAACCTATCTTTCTACACCATACTAGTTCAAGTTTATTTACCATGTTTAATGAATACATTGGAAATCTAACTCACCCGATCTCTCACCCCAAAAAAACACAGTGAAAACACAATACAACTCAGGGCAAATGTCCTCTTTCTCTGAGTTTCCCTCCCATGATCCTCTATGTGACTGTGAGCAGAACTGTGAGCACTATTCATCCATTAGTCATCAGATGTGTTGTGATCCCCTCCTAGCCCCCAATAGCCACATCCCTCTGGTCATGCATGTGATATAACTACAGTAGACACTGGGCAGACACACACACACACACGGACGGACGGACGGACGGACAGACACACACACAGACAGTACACTCTCTCTCTCTTTCTCTCTCTCTCACGTTGGTCTCTCCATCCCTGCCTAACCCTGCCTGTCTCTCTCTCTCCTCTCTCCCTGTAGCATCGCCAGGGCCCGGGCAGCCATGTTCAGCTCATTGTCGTCAGAGAGGCAGTCCTTCTCCTATAACAAGACCAGGAGCGAGGACAGCCCTAAGGTAAGTAGTGTTGATGAAAGGGATGAGGATATTCACACACACACTCTTTCTGGCGAAAGGCACATAGGGATATATTGACTCCAACTCTCTCTGTCTGACACACATACTCTCTCTCTCTGACAAACACTCTCTCTCTCTCTCACACACACACACACATCCCTTCATCATCAACTCTTGAGGTAATGTTGTATTTCTCCGCAGAGCACAGGGTCGGGCACTACCGCATACCACCTCCAGAGGGCGATAACAGGGGGCATCGTATTGATGGAGCTTGCCTTTCAGGTGAGACTCTTGTTCTCTCTCTTTCCCTGTCTCTTGCTCTTTCTATCTCTCTCTTTCTCTCTCGCTCTCTATCTCTCTTTCAAAGGGGCTTTATTGGCATGGATTTTTTTTTGCCAAAGTAATGAAATAAACAAAAGTGAGTATACACAAAACAACATCAACAAAAAACTATACAAATGTAACCGTAAATATTGCACTCAAAAATGTTTTTTTTTAAATCGACATTTCAAGTGTTATATTATCAGCTATGTACAGCTTTAATATTGCAGATAGATTGTAGCTTCCATCAATGTAATTGTCTGCATCATTTCCAATCCCCCATATATATATATTTTTAAATATATACACTACCGTTCAAAAGTATGGGGTCACTTAGAAATGTCCTTGTTTTCGAAATATATATATATTTTTTGTCCATTAAAAGAACATCAAATTGATCAGAAATACAGTGTAGACATTGTTAATGTTGTAAATGGCTATTATAGCTGGAAACGGCTGATTTTTAATGGAAGATCTACATAGGCGTACAAAGGCCCATTATCAGCAACCATCAGTCCTGTGTTCCAATGGCATGTTGTGTTTGCTAATCCAAGTTTATCATTTTAAAAAGCTAATTGATCATTAGAAAACCCTTTTGCAATTATTATGTTAGCACATCTGAAAACTGTTGTGCTGATTAAAGAAGCAATAAAACTGGCCTTCTTGAGACTATTTGAGTATCTGGAGCATCAGCAATTGTGGGTTCGATTACAGGCTCAAAATGGGCAGAAACAAATAACTTTCTTCTGAAACTCGTCAGTCTATTCTTGTTCTGAGAAATGAAGGCTATTCCATGCGAGAAATTTCCAAGAAACTGAAGATCTCGTGCAACGCTGTGTACTACTCCCTTCACAGAACAGCGCAAACTGGCTCTAACCAGAATAGAAAGAGGAGTGGGAGGCCCCGGTGCACAACTGAGCAAGAGGACAAATACATTAGAGTGTCTAGTTTGAGAAACAGACGCCTCACAGGTCCTCAACTGGCAGCTTCATTAAATAGTACCCGCAAAACACCAGCCTCAACGTCAACAGTGAAGAGGCGATTCTGGGATGCTGACCTTCTAGGCAGAGTTGCAAAGAAAAAGCCATATCTCAGACTGCACATCTTAATCTTTTCTTTTTATTGGCCAGTCTGAGATATGGCTTTTTCTTTGCAACTCTGCCTAGAAGGTCATTTATTTAATGAAGCTGCCAGCATTAATGATGCTTGAGGAAACAGGTACAAATGTATCTATATCCACAGTAAAAACAAGTCCTATATCGACATAACCTGAAAGGCCGCTCAGCAAGGAAGAAGCCACTGCTCCAAAACCGCCATAAAAAGCCAGACTACGGTTTGCAACTGCACATGGGGACAAAGATCGTACTTTTTGGAGAAATGTCCTCTGGTCTGATGAAACAAATATAGAACTGTTTGGCCATAATGACCAATGTTATGTTTGGAGGAAAAAGGGGGTGGCTTGCAAGCAGAAGAACACCATCACAACCGTGAAGCACGGGGGTGGCAGCATCATGCTGTGGGGGTGCTTTGCTGCAGGAGGGACTGGTGCACTTCGCAAAATAGATGGCATCATGAGGAAGGAAAATTATGTGGATATATTGAAGCAACATCTCAAGACATCAGTCAAGAAGTTAAAGCTTGGTTGCAAATGGGTCCTCCAAATGGACAATGACCACAAGCATACTTCCAAAGTTGTGGGAAAATGGCTTAAGGACAACGAAGTCATGGTATTGGAGTGGCCATCACAAAGCCCTGACCTCAATCCTATAGAAAATGTGTGGTGCAGAACTGAAAAAGCGTGTGCGAGCAAGGAGGCCTACAAACCTGACTCAGTTACACCAGCTCTGTCAGGAGGAATGGGCCAAAATTCACCCAACTTATTGTGGGAAGCTTGTGGAAGGCTACCCGAAACGTTTGACCCAAGTTAAACACTTTAAAGGCAATGCTACCAAATACTAATTGAGTGTATGTAAACATCTGACCCACTGGGAATGTGATGAAAGAAATAAAAGCTGAAATAAATCATTCTCTCTACTATTATTCTGACATTTCACATTCTTTAAATAAAGTGGTGATCCTAACTGACCAAAGACAGGGAGTTTTTACTAGGATTAAATTGTCAGGAATTGTGAAAAACTGAGTTTAAATGTATTTGGCTAAGGTTTATGTAAACTTCCGACTTCAACTGTATATATGTTTCTTAATATATATATGGGGCTCAAGCTGCATCCCTGTGTCACCCCTCATTCTCTCGCCCTCTTTCTCTCTCTCCCTATCTCTTTGTCGCTCTCTTTGTCACTCTCTCTGTCTCTCTCTCGCTCTCACTCTTACTCCATATTACACATTAACCCTTCCTACTCCATTAGCTTAACATGGGCCTCTGGATTAGATTGTGTAATCATAATGTGTAATGATTACACAGAAGAGTTTAGTTGAAATGGGTCTTTCCTACTGAGTATTTTATGCATCATCATTCTCACCGTGTAGGAGATGTGTTTAGAACAGTTTCAGTCATTGTAACCACACACCCACCACATTATTATTCATGACTAATATTATCTGTTGAGCCCTGAGTAGTATAGTAGCACATTGTATGATATTCTATTCTATCCAGTATATGATATCTCTCTCTCCTTCTTCCCTCCATATTTTGTTTCTCTCTCTCTCTCTCTCTCTCTCAGGGTTGTTACTTCTGTGTGAAGCAGTATGCTCTGGAGTGTTCACGCATCCCCATGGGACAGACCGTCAACTCTCAGGTAACATTATGGCATCTCTATCTCTGGTGCTGTGAGTTAGACCACAGAGCTGGGCCCAATGAACCAGGCCATAGCGCTCTCTCTCTCTCTCTCTCTCTCTCTCTCTCTCTCTCTCTCTCTCTCTCTCTCTCTCTCTCTCTCTCTCTCTCTCTCTCTCTGTCTCTCTCTCTCTCTGTCTCTCTCTCTCTCTGTCTCTCTGTCTCTGTCTCTGTCTCTGTCTCTCTCTCTCTGTATATATAAAGCTGGAGTGTCCAGGTTTTGCTCTAAACCAGGTTTAATTCAGTGTAAAGATGTGTAAATGACTGCTGTGTGTTTGCTGAGCGTCTCCAGATGTTGTCTCTCAGCTGGGAGGGAGGGTAAGCCCCAACAGATGCCTCACTCTCTTCAGCAGCTGGCCATCTACAACTATAAAGCCATCTGAAGATTATTATTTTTTGGCCATTTATTTGTTTGTAAATGTGTGTGCTAGAAGCGGGAAGCGAAATAATGAGTGATTGGTGTAGTGCTAAACACTCATTTTAATGTCTGACTCTTTCAGTTGTAACATTTTTGTTGAAATTACATACAACACATACAACTAGATTGCCAAGAGAGGAGATTTGAAACAGTCTTTCCTCCATTTCCTTCTCAAGCCAAACTGTCATATTATATGAAAGAAATCAATGGACTCACTTCGCAAAACATCCTTTTCTCTTTTATTACAATTATTCATAATGATTGCCTGCCATATATGGTGTTCTAATCGGAAAAAAACATTATTGTACTCATAACCCGTATATTTCAGTCTGGTAATTGCTTTGCCATGTAAACTATTGGGCAGAGTGTAGTGTGTATGTGGGGTGAGTGTTTAGCTACTACAGCAGTCTGCCCAATCTTTAAACAGAGCTAATGGACTGTGGTGTGGACTAGGGAGATGGCGAGATGGAGCGAGCAGCGGTAGGTCTGTTCTGAACTCTTATGTACTAGACTAATGGCTGTGCTCAGCTCAGCGCTGCATACAGCGTACAGACTGACCCTGTGTTGTTAAAGATCGAGAGAGCTGTTCACCATGTAGCCTTTCTCTGGCTCTGGTTCTCTATCTTTCTCTCTCCCTATATTTCTTTCTCCTCTCTCTTTTTCTCTCTTTCTTTCTTCATCTCTCTCCCATTCTCTTTCTCATTTTCCTCTTTCTTTCTTTCTCTCATCTCCTCTCCTCCTTGGGACGGATCAGTTTTCAGGTTGTGAGTTGACTGTTATTGAATATGATACAGACAGGCAGGCAGAGGACAAGATGTCACTGTCATGCTCACCGTTTCCCCTCAATGTGTTGGAAACTGTATCAAAGTGACGTATGTTAGTCTGAGCAGACAGAGTGAGAGAGTATTCTCTTTAATCACAATGATTAGAGTTTGAGAAGAGCCATGGCAGTTGCAGAGTTCATCTCGATGCACAGCAGGGTGGTAGACGTCTGTTAATCACTGGAGTGGATGAGTGAGTGGCGCGAGAGATGGAGGGTGTGTGTGTGTGTGTGTGTGTGTGTGTGTGTGGTTTATAATTGGACGCTGTCGCCAGTCAGCCTCAGTTCTCCTCAGCGTTGACTGTTGTCTTTGTGGCCTGTCTGACCTGCTCATGCTTGGTGCTCACACACACTAGTTTGTCACCTCGTGTCACCTCCTATCTGTTCAATATCACTCTAATCTTATTAATATGAGTGTGTAGCAACACAATGAGTTTGTAGGTGTCTTTGCGCGTGTAATAGGGTGTATATCTATAGGCACTAACTCCACCATGGCTATTTGACCTATGGAGAAATGGATGGGATTTTGGGAGGGGTTTTGGATAACGTATAAGATCTCTTAAGCCTGTGTTAACCTCAGACCTTATTTTCTGCGTTTATCCCAAAACCCCATTCTTTCCCCATCCATTTCCCCATAGGCCAAAGAGCCATGGCGGAGTTAGTGCCTATAAAAATACGCTCTATTACACATGCAAATACACGTTTTTTAGGACTACAAGCTGGCGAGCTCCATTCTGACAATTGTCTTTTGTCTGTCTCTGTCTTTATGTTCTGTGTTTGTCCATTTCCTTTCCTTCTCTGTGTGTGTGTGTGTGTGTGTGTGTGTGTGTGTGTGTGTGTGTGTGTGTGTGTGTGTGTGTGTGTGTGTGTGTGTGTGTGTGTGTGTGCATACCTCTGTGTATGTTTCTGTGTGTATCTTTCTCTGTCTGTGTCTGTCTAGTCCCATCTCATGTCCTCTCTCCATCAGGGCTCCTTCCTCACCTCAAAACCTCTCAGTCTCAAGCCATTCCGGTCTCTGACTCTGCGGTATGTCCCAGAACCCTTAGGGGCAGGGTGTCTACCCTCCTCTCTGCTTGCTGCAATGGCCCCTGATCCCTCTATCTCTCTCTTCTCTCTGTCTAAATCTCTCTCTTCTCTATCTATCTCTATCTACCTGTCTAAATCTCTCTCTTCTCTATCTATCTCGATCTACTGTGTCTCTCTTCTCTTTCACACTCTCTCTCTACATCTCTCTCTCTCTTACACTCTGTCTCTTTCCCTCTCTATCTCATGCTCTTGTTCTGTCTCTATCTTTTCTTCTCTCTCTCTCTCTTTTTTCTTTCTTTCTTTCTTTCTTTCTTTCTTTCTTTCTTTCTTTCTTTCTTTCTTTCTTTCTTTCTTTCTTTCTTTCTTTCTTTCTTTCTTTCTTTCTTTCTTTCTTTCTTTCTTTCTTTTCTTCTTTCTTTCTTTCTTTCTTTCTCGCTCTCTCGCTCTGAGGAATGGTGATGGCTTCCTCTGTCTGATTGAATCTCTCTTCAGTGCAGCCTGGTGGAGCTCTGGGCTCCAATGTTGTACTTCCCTACATGTCTGTTCTGCTGTGACTTTTGGGTTCATGTCAGTCCTCTAGACTCTGTCTCAGTCTACATCTTCATCTTGCTGCTGGGCCAAACAGGCCTGAATGATGCTGAGCTGTGATTCGCTGTCTGTCTATGGGTCATTGTGACCCTCCCTCCAAGCTCTTCCTGTATCAATCTGTGTTTGTCATGCAGCTGGTGAATAAACTAGCCTAAATGCTGCTCTTTTTGTAGAACACTTACTGTTACTGTCTTTCTTTGTACAGCTCAAATCTGGAATGAGCAATCTTCTGACTTCCCCTGTCTTATTCAAGCATTTGTCTATGATTTCTTGAGTACATTTATGAGGCCTCTGATTAAGTATCCTCTATAGTATCGATTTTTGCATCACTAGTCCACTGTCATCCTCTGTCGTTGTTGTAATGTAAAGTGTCTCTCTATAGTAGAAAATAGCTTTGATATACTGATAATTGACTTTTGAACAAAGTTATATACGTTTAACCTACTCTTTGCTAGCACCTGTGAACAGTTTGAAAAGGGGTTTAGCATAAATATTAGTACGTTAAAGATACAAGTAAGTTTGAAAGGTATACCCAAAATAGTTTTTAGATCAGAATGGCAGTTGGTAAATGCCTGAGCAATTAATTCACAGTGTTGACCCAGCAGTTAACATGTCCCTAATAAATGTGTTGGATTAAATATTAACACAATTATATACTATTAATAGTGTATCTCTGTGGTTTCACTGCTAAAGGGCCGTTTGTACCCCTAATCGCTTCAGCGGTCTTGTGGACTTAGAGGTCAGAGGTTACAGTAAATTAGGCTCCAGATCTCTCCATCTCCACTGGGGAACACTGACCAACAGAACCATTAAAGCGCTTTGTACCAGCCTGTTCTGACTTCTGACATTACACTACTACAATGTTCTAGCCTTCAATCTCTTCTACAGTCTGTACCACTGGAGAAATGTACTCTCTATTTTTTTTTTTTTTTTGAAGGTGTCTGCCCTAGCACAAACTAAAATGGCTAAGTCTGGTACAAAACATTCACTTCTTCAGAGAGGTGGTGAAAGGTTCAACTTGTTACGTTGACTTTAAAAGGAAAGGAAAATAGCTTTTTCTTGATGTGTAATGAATGGCTCTCGACTAGTACTGGCATTAAATGAACACTTGAGGGTTGTTTTTTCCCTGACTCTTTGATTTGATAAGACCTATTTACATTTGTTCCAAGCAAATGGTCAAGATGAAAGCAGCAGCAGTAGTAATGGCATTTACCCTCCATCCCCCTCCGAACACCCCTCTCCGAACCTCAGTTCCTGGTATTGTGTCGTAATCACTGCATGCTCCAGTCTTTCACCTCAATCATTAGCATTTTGCCATTCATGCTTTTGTAAGCCTCCGCTTTGATGTTGGATTTAATTAAATAAGATACAATAATGAAGTTGATTGATATCACAGTTGCTTACAAAAGCCTATCACAAAGGAGGGGTGGTAGTAGCAGAGCATAATCACTTTAATTGGGTGGTAGTAGCAGAGCATAATCACTTTAATTGGGTGGTAGTAGCAGAGCATAATCACTTTAATTGGGTGGTAGTAGCAGAGCATAATCACTTTAATTGGGTGGTAGTAGCAGAGCATAATCACTTTAATTGGGTGGTAGTAGCAGAGCATAATCACTTTAATTGGGTGGTAGTAGCAGAGCATAATCACTTTAATTGGGTGGTAGTAGCAGAGCATAATCACTTTAATTGGGTGGTAGTAGCAGAGCATAATCACTTTAATTGGGTGGTAGTAGCAGAGCATAATCACTTTAATTGGGTGGTAGTAGCAGAGCATAATCACTTTAATTGGGTGGTAGTAGCAGAGCATAACCACTTTAATTGGGTGGTAGTAGCAGAGCATAATCACTTTAATTGGGTGGTAGTAGCAGAGCATAATCACTTTAATTGGGTGATAGTAGCAGAGCATAATCACTTCAATTGGGTGGTAGTAGCAGAGCATAATCACTTTAATTGGGTGGTAGTAGTAGAGCATAATCCCTTTAATTGGGTGGTAGTAGCAGAGCATAATCCCTTTAATTGGGTGGTAGTAGCAGAGCATAATCCCTTTAATTGGGTGGATACAATAGACAGACAGTGAGAACGGCTGAAACAGCAGGGAGGTTTTCCTACCGATGTAGACACGAGTTTAATGGGTCTGTTATTACTATTAGACACTAGATGGATAGCAGTGCAGAGCGAGGGAGAGGAGCTAGGCCTAACTTCAGAAACTTTATTATTAAACATTGAATTGTGCATATGATACTGCCAATACTGGCTTGATATTAGTCCAGGAGAATTCAGATGATTGTGTGAATGGTAGGTCATGGGGATCCTCTTCCTCTGTATGAGGTGATTGGTTGGTTGCGTGGTGTGTGTGTGTGTGTGTGTGTGTGTGTGTGTGTGTGTGTCCTATCCCATTCCCACAGCCCTTACAGAACTCTGTAGTGAGTGTCTACATTGTGTCGGCCCCTCTCTCTCCTCCAGCTCGCCATGCTTTTCACAGAGGAGTGTGATAAGGTGCGTGACCTGATACATGTGCACTCGTTCAGCTATGACTTCCACTTGCGGGTGGTGCACCAGTACCTGGTGGGCTGTCACATGACCCTGTGGCAAGGATACCAGCTGACCGGCTTCCTGGAGGACTTCATAGCCCATCACCCTGACGTCCCCAAGTTCGGACGAAACCACGTCTTCCAGGGTGAGTCTGACTCAACCCACCTAAACAACTAAATCCTGAAATGAGTCCCAGCAGTATGTTTAAGGCTAAGGCCAGAATTAAAACCAACACAGATCAACAACCTGTGCTTTGCGTTTGACTTTTAAATGTGATTTCTGCTTGAGCCGAACAGTGAGCATGATCTCCGTGGACATCTGGGAAATTGCCTTTGAAAGTCTATCGCTGTGCGTAGGACGGCTAATCTGTGTTGGGTTGAATCCAGGCCTGTCAGTGAGCTCATGCTTCTGTCTGTTCGTCTGTCCATCAGGGAGTTTCTCCATCTCTACAGGGATGATCACAGCTCACCAGCTGTATAACTACATCACTGACCACGCTGGCACCTACGGCATGAAGCCCCTTCGCATGTCCAAGGCTGCAATGACCAGCGATGGCAAGAAGGGAGCACCACCCAGCAGTGACTTGCATGAGTACGGTCTGGTGGCACTGTGGAACAGGTATGCTATGGACACACACACACACACCTCTGTGAATTAAACATACATCATTCATGACCTATTCTTCTCATCTAGCTCGGGCTCTTACAAGGACCTTGAAGGCCTGCGTCACCATGACGATTTTGACGTGTCCCTGCTGGTGTGTCACAATGCCGCTCCGTTTGAGGAGCAGTCGGATGGAGAGAGACATCTTCTGAGGTACAGAGATGTGAAAGGAGGGATTATATATCACACAATGGAAGGTGGGAATCATTTGGGAAAGGTTACATTTTCTAGGTTACAATTTCATACAGTAGGTTGCTATTGAAAACAGTAGGATAGTATTCTATACAGTAGGTTGCTATTGAAAACAGTAGGATAGTATTCTATACAGTAGGTTGCTATTGAAAACAATAGGATAGTATTCTATACAGTAGGTTGCTATTGAAAACAATAGGATAGTATTCTATACAGTAGTTTGCTATTGAAAACAATAGGATAGTATTCTATACAGTAGGTTGCTATTGAAAACAATAGGATAGTATTCTGTACAGTAGGTTGCTATTGAAAACAATAGGATAGTATTCTGTACAGTAGGTTGCTATTGAAAACAATAGGATAGTATTCTATACAGTAGGTTGCTATTGAAAACAATAGGATAGTATTCTAAACAGTAGGTTGCTATTGAAAACAATAGGATAGTATTCTATACAGAAGGTTGCTATTGAAAACAATAGGATAGTATTCTATACAGTAGGTTGCTATTGAAAACAATAGGATAGTATTCTGTACAGTAGGTTGCTATTGAAAACAATAGGATAGTATTCTATACAGTAGGTTGCTATTGAAAACAATAGGATAGTATTCTATACAGTAGGTTGCTATTGAAAACAATAGGATAGTATTCTATACAGTAGGTTACATAAGATGAAACGGTGTGCTGTACCAATACCTCTATGTATGAAGTTGCATTGCCATGGCAGTGACTTATCTGTCTTCTCAATCTATGTGTGTGTGATGTGATGTGACGTGTCCTTGCGTGTTTATGTTTCAGGCTGCGTTACTACGTGATAATGACCAGCCAGAGAGAGCTGTTCCCCCGGCTGACGGCTGACATGCGCCGCTTCAAAAAGCTTCCCCAGATACACCGTGAGGTCAGCGACCTGGCAGGAAGGGTTCCCCTTGAGAGAGGTACAGAACCAGGCGGGGCACTGGAACTTGAACTGGACCTCTGGGAGGAGACCCCACCTGCAGCCTCAGCCCCAGACACCTTCATCTCTACCCCCAGCGATGGGAACGAGTTCTATCCTCTGACTGGCCCCCAGGGGTCTGGGGCCCAGGGTCTCCTCTACCCCTCTCCTCTGTTCTCCCTGCTCAATCAGGAGGTTGGGTTCTCCAGGACCGCTAGGACTTCATTGTGTTTTTAATCTTCAACTATTTAATGCGTGTATTGTTGTATTAACATGGATGAGGCATTTGTAGGTTACCATTTCATACGAGGTTCATTTCTATACAATAGTTTACTATGTTAGTATTGCAAAATAAATCAGGTTACCAATATCTGTATGTAGGAGTTATTGCAGTTATTGCATATATATGAAATTATAGGCTGTGTATTTTAAATTAGTCAAAAAAATGTATTGATTCAATCATCAATCCAGGTGGGCTGTGCGCGGAGGCAGATCCAGGCGAGCGTGGAGCAGGCCATGGGCCACTGTCGCAGGGACAACCTGTGGAGGAGGCTGCTCCATGGAGAACACCAGCACCTGGCCATGGACAAGCTCAAGTTGAGCAAACTGTCCTTCAGCGAACTGGAGGAGCTCCTCAACGCCGTGCAGAGTCGATCTGTAGGGGAGATAGACCCCCAGCTGGTAAAGGACACACTCTACCCTACTCCTACACTTCACTACTACAGACCACACCACCTCACCTCACTACTACAGACCACACCACCTCACCTCACTACTACAGACCACACCACCTCACCTCACTACTACAGACCACACCACCTCACCTCACTACTACAGACCACACCACCTCACCTCACTACTACAGACCACACCACCTCACCTCACTACTACAGACCACACCACCTCACCTCACTACTACAGACCACACCACACCAACTCACTACTACAGCAACCTTACCCCAAAATAGTTCATAGTGACCATATCTTTCCTGCAGGGTTGGGGTCCATTCTATTTCAATTCAGTAAATTTAGGAAATAAATTGACATTTCAGTTCCCAAATTTCCTCATGGCTTTTCAGTGATTGACCCTGACCTTGCTTTCCTGTTTACGCACCAACTCTCCTCAGATGTGCTACTCCTGTTTGTCCTGCTGCTATGTTGATTTGACAGCAGGCACTACTATAGCATGCTGCTCTGTTCGCTGGTCTCTCAAACGCCAATCAGCACTCTACTGTACACATACAGCATCATTATTGAGCTAGCTACACCTATTATTAAAACACATCCGGGCACTGATTGGATTGTGCCCCCATTCAGAGAGATTGGATGGTTCCAGTCAGGTGTACACATGTATTAGATGCAATAGCCTAATTTCCAGTATCATGCCATGTCAATATTAGGTTATTGTGTTTCAATCGTGATTGGATTTGGATAAGTACCTCTGCAGGTAGACAAGCATGTATTGTGTCAGTGCTGTATCCTTGACTAGAGTTTCCTGTTAGTCTTGTATCCTCTTAAATGACTACCATTAAAGTTGTGCTTGTTAGATGGATACATTTTATTTAGTTAACACCAGTAAGTCACTGAGAACAGATGATCCCTTCTACAATAATTAAACACCACTTCAATCCAGAGAATCATGACAAGGGCTTACCAAGAAAAATTTCCAAAAAGACTAATTCAGGTAGAAAGGAGTTGGAGCACTCAACAAAGTAAAATACATCAATCTCTGCCTTTTTTGTTGAATGCTCCAACTCCTTTCTACCTTGAATTAGTCCTTTTGGAAGTTTTTCTTGGGAAGCCATTCTCATGATTGTTGTCATTGTTGTTGAGCACCCCTCCTTTCCTTTGTTTTCTGAAGCGTGAAGGCCCACCTGAACTCTGGCCACTTCAATCCAATAGTTTGTTACTGATATAGCCTCCACTTGTTGGTTTTGTAAAATAAAGGTCCCTATGGCATTTCTTGAGCGCTCCAATCATTTAAATTATTCTTCATTATACTCAGTTTAAAGTACCCTGCTCCAATTACACGATGGTTGGAGCAACTATGCGTGTGTGATTTTCCAAATGGCTGGCGGGCGGCTTCTCGTGGAGATGGTATTCAAGGTTAATGCCCTCTCAGTCAGTAGAGAAGGAGGGTGGGCCAGGCCTCCTCACTCCTGCCTTTTCAAGGAGACCTAGAGCCTCATAATCACAGAGGCTTGCATATGTGTGTGTTGGAGAGGAGAGAAACAAAGCATCCTTGGACGATGGTGATAATCACAGAGGTGTGTGCATTTTCGTGTGTGTGTGTGCCTCTGCGTGTGTGCGCACATTTGTTGTGCGCGTCAGAGAGGAGAGAAACGCGGCACGTCATCCATGTAGAAAGGAATCGTGATAATCACAAGCTCCCTCTAAAAGCCCTCATACCTTTCCCTGAGCCAGTGGTTGTGGGCTCCTGGGCTGCTCACTGTGTGACTGACAGCTCCTCCAGGTCTAAGAGCCTTCCCACAGTGCACCGCAGCAGCTCATCCCATCAGCCCTTACGGTGAGGCAGGTAGAGAATAGAGCCGTATCCTCCCTATAATAACCACGCAGGCATTATCCTGACAGCAACATAAGGATAGTGGTGCCGTCGTATCCCCCAGCAGAGCTGGGAAACATGTCTATGCATACAGTATATCTGAATTGTGATCATGTGTAGTAGGATTAGGCTATGTGCAGTATGAGGTGTTACATAGATATGTGCTGCGTGCTTTGGATTGGGTTTTTCTTGATCCCCTGTCATATCTCTCTTGTGTTGCTTTGTTTTGATGATTCCCATAGGTTTCATCCATAACAAACTGTTGTGTCATCCACTCTATTTCTAGCTTGAAATCATCTTCTGAAGGCGATAGATACGTACCACCATGCTGTGCTACTCCGCCATGCTGTGCTACTCCACTGTACTGTGCTACTCCGCCATGCTGTGCTACTCCACTGTGCTGTGCTACTCCTCTGTACTGTGCTACTCCACTGTGCTGTGCTACTCCACTGTGCTGTGCTACTCCTCTGTGCTGTGCTACTCCTCTGTACTGTGCTACTCCACTGTGCTGTGCTACTCCACTGTGTTGTGCTACTCCTCTGTGCTGTGCTACTCCACTGTGCTGTGCTACTCCTCTGTACTGTGCTACTCCACTGTACTGTGCTACTCCACTGTACTGTGCTACTCCACTGTGCTGTGCTACTCCTCTGTACTGTGCTACTCCACTGTACTGTGCTACTCCACTGTGCTGTGCTACTCCTCTGTACTGTGCTACTCCACTGTACTGTGCTACTCCTCTGTGCTGTGCTACTCCTCTGTGCTGTGCTACTCCACTGTACTGTGCTACTCCACTGTGCTGTGCTACTCCTCTGTGCTGTGCTACTCCACTGTACTGTGCTACTCCACTGTGCTGTGCTACTCCGCTGTGCTACTCCACTGTACTGTGCTACTCCTCTGTACTGTGCTACTCCTCTCTGCTGTACTACTCCACTGTACTGTGCTACTCCTCTCTGCTGTACTACTCCACTGTACTGTGCTACTCCTCTCTGCTGTACTACTCCACTGTACTGTGCTACTGTGCTGTGCTACTGTGCTGTGCTACTCCACTGTGCTGTGCTACTCCACTGTGCCAATGTCTTGTTACTGTATATCTTCTATTCTGTGGTTACGTCCCTATTCCCTATACAGTGCACTACTTTTGACCATGGCCCATAGGCTCTGATCAAAAGTAGTGCACAATGTAGGGAATAGGGTACCATTTGGGATGCAGCCTGTGAGTTAGTTCCATACCCCTTCCCCTGTGGGCACGTCAGAGGTGTACATGCTGCTCACACCGAGGGGATAGCTCTCAGCTCCCAGAGGTCTACTCTGCCTACATGTGATAAGCAAATCTAGAAAATCCACAGCTTCAAATTAAATTTCTAACCAAATTGAACTACATATGGAATGTGCAATGTGTCTGATGATACCCTTTGTTAGTGACTAATTTCATTTAAATGATGTCTCTTTCATGATTAAATTTAAAATGATCAAATCTACCATGAGTTTGAAGCTTCTCTATGCTCAGAAGCTCAAAGTACAGAAGGTCTATATTCAGAGTAGGATGTTAGCATGGGATGCTTCCCAAATGGCACCCTATTTCATATATAGTGCACACATTTTTAACAGGGCCCATAGGGCTCTGGTCAAAAGTAGTGCACTACAGTGGCTTGCGAAAGTATTCACCCCCCTTGGCATTTTTCCTATTTTGTTGCCTTACAACCTGGAATTAAAAAAATGTTGGGGGTTTGTATCATTTCATTTACACAACATGCCTACCACTTTGAAGATGCAAAATATGTTTTTATTGTGAAACAAGCAAGAAATAAGACAAATAAACTGAAAACTTGAGCATGCATAACTATACAACTAAACAACACTGGGATTTTTGCCCATTCTTCAAGGCAAAACTGCTCCAGCTCCTTCAAGTTGGATGGGTTCCGCTGGTGTACAGCAATCTTTAAGTCATACCACAGATTCTCAATTGGATTGAGGTCTGGGCTTTGACTAGGCCATTCCAAGACATTTAAATGTTTCCCCTTAAACCACTTGAGTGTTGCTTTAGCAGTATGCTTAGGGTCATTGTCCTGCTGGAAGGTGAACCTCCGTCCCAGTCTCAAATCTCAGGAAGACTGAAACAGGTTTCCCTCAAGAATGTCCCTGTATTTAGCGCCATCCATCATTCCTTCAATTCTGACCAGTTTCCCAGTCACTGCTGATGGAAAAACATCCCCGCAGAATGATGCTTCCACCACCATGCTTCACTGTGGGGATGGTGTTCTCGGGGTGATGAGAGGTGTTGGGTTTGCGCCAGACAGCGTTTTCCTTGATGGCCATTAAGCTACATTTTAGTCTCATCTGACCAGAATACCTTCTTCCATATGTTAGGGGAGTCTCCCACATGGCTTCTGGCAAACACCAAACGTGTTTGCTTATTTTTTTCTTTAAGCAATGGCTTTAATCTGGCCACTCTTCCGTAAAGCCCAGCTCTGTGAAGTGTACGGCTTAAAGTGGTCCTATGGACAGATACTCCAATCTCCGCTGTGGAGCTTTGCAGCTCCTTCAGGGTTATCTTTGGTCTCTTTGTTGCCTCTCTGATTAATGCCCTCCTTGCCTGGTCTGTACGTTTTGGTGGGCGGCCCTCTCTTTGCAGGTTTGTTGTGGTGCCATATTCTTTCCATTTTTTAATAATGGATTTAATGGTGCTCCGTGGGATGTTCAAAGTTTTGGATATTTTTTTATAACCCAACCCTGATCTGTACTTCTCTACAACTTTGTCCCTGACCTTTTTGGAGAGCTCATTGGTCTTCATGGTGCCGCTTTATTTGACTAATTATGTGACTTCTGAAGGTAATTGGTTGCACCAGATCTTATTTAGGGGCTTCATAGCAAAAGGGGTGAATACATATGCACGCACCACTTTTCCGTTATTTATTTTCTAGAATTTTTTGAAACAAGTTATTTTTTTCATTTCACTTCACCAATTTGGACTATTTTGTGTTTGTCCATTACATGAAATCCAAATAAAAATCAATTTTAAATTACAGGTTGTAATGCAACAAAATAGGTAAAACGCCAAGGGGGATGAATACTTTTGCAAGGCACTGTATATAGGGAATAGGGTGCCATGTGGGATTCAGCTGTATCTAAATGCTGCTTTGCTTCACAACATTTCTCAGTAGTCTTCCAATGTTTGGAATTTCAAGAACAAGTAAAGGATGGCAGTTACTATTTAGAATTATTATTGAGATGAATTTCAAAGCAAGAGTGCTTAGAAGCATAGAGATCAGAAAGCTCTAGCATTAGGCTATATACACTACCAGTCCAAAGTCAGGACACACCTACTCATTCCAGGGTTTTTCTTTACTTTTACAATTTTCTACATTGTAGAATAATAGTGAAGACATCAAAACTATGAAAAAACACATATGGAATCATGTAGTAACCAAAAAAAAGTGTTAAACACCTGTTGGCTGCTTTTCCTTCACTCTGCGGTCCAACTCATCACAAACCATCTCAATTGGGTTGAGGTCGGGTGATTGTGGAGGCCAGGTCATTTGATGCAGCACTCCATCACTCTCCTTCTTGGTCAAATAGCCCTTACACAGCCTGGAGGTGTGTTGGGATATTGTCCTGTTAAAAACAAATGATAGTCACACTAAGCACAAACCAGATGGGATGGCGTATCGCTGCAGAATGCTGTGGTAGCCATACTGGTTAAGTGTGCCTTGAATTCTAAATAAATCACCGACAGTGACACCAGCAAAGCACCATCACACCACCTCCTCCATGCTTCACGGTGGGAACCACACATGCGGAGATCATCCGTTCACCTACTCTGCGTCTCACAAAGACATGGTGGTTGGAACCAAAAATCTCAAATTTGGACTCATCAGACCAAAGGACAGATTTCCACCGGTCTAATGTCCATTGCTCGTGTTTCTTGGCCCATGCAAGTCTCTTCTTATTATTGGTGTCCTATAGTAGTGGTTTCTTTGCAGCAATTCGGCTCCCGAGTGGCGCAGCGTTCTAAGCACTGCATCTACAGACCCTGGTTCGATTCAAGGCTGAATCACAATCCGGCCATGATTGGGAGTCCCATAGGGCGGCGCACAATTGGCCCAGCGTCGTCCGGGTTTGGCCGGGGTAGGCCATCATTGTAAATAAGAATTTGTTCTTAACTGACTTGCCTAGTTAAATAAAGGTTAAATAAATAAAAAATAAAGGCCTGATTCACAAAGTCTCCTCTGAACAGTTGATGTTGAGATGTGTCTGTTACTTGAACTCTGTGAAGCATTTATTTGGGGCTGCAATTTCTGAGGCTGGTAACTCTAATGAACTTATCCTCTGCAGCAGAGGTAACTCTGGGTCTTCCTTTCTTGTGGCGTTTCTCATGAGAGCCAGTTTCATCATAGCGCTTGATGGTTTTTGCGACTGCACTTGAAGAAACTTTCAAAGTTCTTGAAATGTTCCGTATTGACTGACCTTCATGTCTTAAAGTAATGATGGACTGTCGTTTCTCTTTGCTTATTTGAGCTGTTCTTGGTCTTTTACCAAATAGGGCTATCTTCTGTATACCACCCCTACCTTGTCACAACACAACTGATTGGCTAAAACGAATTAAGAAGGAAAGAAATTCCACAAATTAACTTTTAACAAGGCACACCTGTTAATTGAAATGCATTCCAGGTGACTACCTCATGAAGCTGGTTGAGAGAATGCCAAGAATGTGCAAAACTGTCATCAAGGCAAATGTTGGCTTTGAAGAAAATATATTTTGATTTGTTTAACACTTTTTTGGTTACTACATGATTCCATATGTGTTATATCATAGTTTTGATGTCTTCACTATTATTCTACAAAAATCCTGGAATGAGTAGGTGTGTCCAAACTTTGGACTGGTACTGTATATAGGAAAAAGGGTGCCATTTGGGACATGGCCATGGTTTATAGTAGAGAGCTGCCCTTTTTCTAAGATAGTTATATGCCTTATTATTCTTTAATCAAAGATGTGCTCTTTATTTTAGTGTGGTGGTATAGCTACAGTAGAGAGCTGCTGTAGCTTAATCAACGCTGTGCTCTTCAAACTAGCTGTGTCTTTCCCACAGGGATCTCAGCATTTATCAACAGAAAAGTCCTAATTAAAAACCCAAACATCCTATTTATATGTCCGTGTTAAAGAAGAAGTAGAATGGAAACTTCACAGCCAGTGATCTGAACACAGATTAAGAATGTACTGAAGTATGGACTGTGAGAACTGAGTAGGCTCTACAGCATTGCAGGGGTCGCCGTTGGGAAGCTCCCTACAGCTCACCCCCTGCCTCGTCTTCCCTTCAGATCCTCTTCTCTAGTCATTTTCTGCTATTCATAGATGTATGCCAGGGAATCACTGATGATTCTCAGCCAAGCAATGTTTTATACATTTTAGATTCAAAGCCAATTGTGGAATTGGCGTGTACTATTTTGGCATTTTTAATTTGCAAAATAATATCTAGAAGAGGACTTTGAAAGATTTTGAAAGATCTTTACTCTTAACTTAGGCTAATTGTGTGTAGGCTAATTGTTCTTCCAATAGTAGGTCTTATGTAGCTAGTGCTAGTTAAAAAATGTGGGTGGTAACTGGTCAGGGTCAAGCATTTGTTTGTCTCTAGTTCAGACCTTCGGCTCGAAACGTTGTACAATCAAACTTTGGGTGTTTTCAACAGTGTGCGGCCCAGGTGTCTATCATTCTTTCAGGGCTTCCTATCCTCTGTTCCTATAGGGTCAAAACATTGCACAATAACACTGTGGGATCATTCAGCATTGTGTGGCCCGGGCATCCATCTTTCTTTCAAGGCTTTGTGTCCTCTATCTCTGTTATTACAGGACTGTTTCTTGACCATGAGTCCCAGCTGGTACCAGAGTCTGATCAAAGTGCTGCTGACTCGCTTCCCTCAGAGCTGCCGACACTTTGACGAGAGTGGCATTCAGTATCTGGTAAGAACAAAACCACTAATATAACATATACAGATATAAACACTACAAAAACATATATACTGAACAAAAATATAAAGACAACATGCAACAATTTCAAACATTTTACTGAGTTACAGTTCATATAAGGAAATCGGTCAATTAAAATAAATAAATTAGGCCTAATCTATGGATTTCACATGACTGGGAATACAGATATGCATCTGTTGGTCGCAGATACCTTAACAAAAGGTAGGGGCGTGGATCAGAAAACCTGTCAGTATCTGGTGTGACCACCATTTGCCTCATGCAGCGCGGCACATCTCCTTCGCATAGCGCTGATCAGGCTGTTGATTGTGGAATGTTGTCCCACACCTCTTCAATGGCTGTGCGAAGTTGCTAGATATTGACGGGAACTGGAACATGCTGTCGTACACGTTGATCCAGAGCATCCCAAACATGTTCAATGGGTGACATGTCTGGTGAGTATGCAGGCCATGGAAGAACTGGGAAATGTTCAGCTTCCAGGAATTGTGTACAGATCCTTGTGACATGGGGCCGTGCATTATCAATCTGAAACATGAGGTGATGGTGGCAGATGAATGGCACGACAATGGGCCTCAGGATCTCGTCACAGTATCTCTGTGCATTCAAATTGCCATCAATAAAATGCAATTGTTCGTTGTCCATAGCTTATGCCTGCCCATACCATAACTCCACTGCCACCTTGGCACTCTGTTCACAACATTGACATCAGCAAACCACTCGCCCACACAACGCCATACACATAGTCTGCGGTTGTGAGGCCGGTTGGACGTACTGCCTCAAAAACGGCTTATAGTAAAGAAATTAACACTTACTTCTCTGGCAACAGTTCTAGTGGACATTCCTGCAGTCAGCATGCCAATTGCATGCTCCCTTAAAACTTGAGACATATGTGGCATTGTGTTGTGTTACAAAACTGCACATTTTAGAGTGTCCTTTTATTATCCCCAGCACAAGATGCACCTGTGTAATGATCATGCTGTTTAATCAGCTTCTTTGATATGCCACACCTGTCAGGTGGATAGATTAACTTGGCAAAGGAGAAATGCTCACTAACAGGGATGTAAACAAATTTATACACAACATTTGAGAGAAATAAGCTTTTTGTGCGTATGGAACATTTCTGGGATCTTTTATTTCAGCTCATGAAACATGGGAACAACACTTTACATGTTCCGTTTATATTCTTGTTCAGTGTAAAAACTACAACTCTCTACAGCACTTTGTCCGCATTTACACTACAATTAAAATTGCTCGTCAAAATGGGTTCCAGAGTGCGGCCTTCAGTGCTCAACCACCACTAAATCAAGGTCATGTTCAGTAGAGCACACGTAGCAAAATCTGCAATGGAAAAGGTAGCAAAACCTTTCTCCCTACTGAACACTACCCATCCCAGTATATTATGAGGTGCTTTGTTCACTAAAATAGAGCTGTCCTCTCCATATGGAGTATGTACGCACTTGCATACATAGGAATACAGCAGAGCACAACCAGCTGCTGTACCTCCAGCAGAATATAATGTAGAGAAACAGGGGAAAGCACCCCGCTAAGCAAATTAATTATCCCCTGTTCTCTCCTCCACATGCAATGTGATTGCATCCGCTTCAAGCCAAACTGTATCTTGACACTGCATGCAACAACATCAAAACCAGCTCCTTGAGCTGCAGACGTTGTTATTAGCATGGGTGCCTGTATCAAAGTTCCCATAGCTCTGTCATTGGACTCCACTGTTTATATATGATATGAATTCAAGACAAATAGTACATCACTCTATATTTGTAATATCCTATAATTATTTCCCTCCCTCAACCCCTATTTGATTTCAATGAATTTTGGAGGTGATCTTGTTAAGTTCTTATGGACTAATCCACTATCAGGAACTGCCTCAAGTACCCTTGAACTTTTCTAAATTAAACTCAGCAGTTTCTCTCAGGCTTCTAACTTTTATATGTAACGGGAGAACAAGAACAATTGAATGTGAAGAAGGAACAAATTAGTATATTAAAAAATCTAAAATTGAGAGACCTCTGCAGTTTGGAAGAAGGGTTTTAGCGTTGTGTAAAAATGTGAAAAGCGGCTCTCAAGGGGGATTATGGGAGTCTTATGGGGAATAATTGTCAGTGTCAGGAGGTTAGTCACTACTTAATTTGGTAATTGAGACTTGAGATCAAAAGAACATCCCCCTCACTTCTTCTCTTCTGAAGATGTTCTGCCCTAGTACTGTAGCTGGTGACATAAACTTCCCTCCCTAGCAAACATCACAGTCACACACTATTCCTTTTTTGTCCCAGAGGGCAAAAGACTATAAACAGTTCAAACACAAGATCCCATTAACTGTAGTCAGTCACCTATTTTTGTTTAAAGTTATACTGTGTGGAATAGGGGGGATGGAATTGTAAGTCATTATAGCTTGAAATGAACAGTTGTCCTGCCTTTCCTTTCTTTCAGGCTGTCCTGAACCAGAAATTCACTGACTGCTTTGTTCTGGTCTTCCTTGACACTCAGGCAGGAAAAACAGTGAGTCATTGTGATGTCTGCCCCTTGTTATGCTCATTATAGCATTTTATAGCTACAGTATATGAATTCCTTATAAGCTGTAACGTGAGATGACGTTGTTTTCAATTGACCTTTATTGTCCCCCTCCCTCCAGAGCCTCAAGGTTGTATTTAGGGAGCCATTGCCATCCCAACTGCAGCCTAGCAACAGCCCCCCGCCCCAGCTGGTGTCCATGTATCATCACCTGGAATCTGTGATCAACACAGCCTGCTTCAACCTGTGGACAGGCCTGCTGTAGGCCTGGAGGGCCAATCAGGGCCAGGTTGGCCACAGAGAAACAGGCTGCTGGGAGGTGTAGTTCCAGACAGGCGACTTCATTTATAGGCCGTCTTGGCATGTGGGACACCAAAAAAGGATGTTATTGTTGAAAAGTGCTAAATTAGCGAATCAGAGAGAGTTCACATGTCAAAGCTTCCTGTGTAATTTATCAGTGGTTTACTCATTCTACCACTGGGAGAAAAGATACACACTATTGTTAAAGGGATAGTGCTAGATTTTGGCAATGGCTGTACCTGTAGACTTCCAGTCATTGCGCTAATGCTAGTTAGGCTCGCAAAACTACCTTAAACTTCTTTCAAACTGCACGCAGAGACATACAAATGGTATCCATGAGTTCATCTGACATTGAAAATATCTTGCACCATCCCTTTAAAGCTACAATCGTTAATTGAAACAATAACAAAGCGGTCACCCGGCCTGTGTTTTGGTAAAAAGCTGAGGGATGTGCCTGGAGGAATTTAAGGACTGACCATCCATGGTATCAAAATTATAGTTTTAACTATGTTTTGAGGCTGTACAGTGTTTGTTTACATTTACATTGTTTACAAACATTGGAGTAAAATAAGCTTATATTTTGGGTTCTGATGGGGTACAGCAGTTGAACTAAGCCCGTGAGGCATTTGTAAGTTATATTCTTCAAGAATCAATGGGTATACATAATTAATTTAGAAGTCCAAAAATAGCTGTAGCAGCTAACTAGCTTTAAAGCACATAAAGGGCTATATTCAATCAGATTCGCTTTAGCCGACATCCACATAGCGGTTGTTTTGGTGGTGTCGGAGGTGGAACTGCATTAGATCTGTCAAATCCACAAGCAGCTCCTGGCATTATACCTAAAGCGGACATTGCCATTGGCTGCACGGCGTTGCATTAAGAGAAATTCCACGGAGCCTTGTTTACAAGTTTGAACACTGGAATGTGAGATGTAAAATACACTTCAATTAGGCTGATAGAAATCCTCATTATTTAGTTGAATGATTTTCAAATTGAGTGTCATTATTTCTATGTAGCTACACTTTCTCTTTCTGAACTTCTAATGTGAGTGGGACGGGTGTGGATTCGTGACAATGATCAAGAGCAGCTGCTCACCGATTTGACTTCTCCAACGTACATGCCTTACTCAAGGGCACATCGGCAGATTTTGTCACCTAGTCGGCTCGGGGATTCGAAACAGCACCCGTTCAGTTACTGGACCAACGCTCTTAACTGCTAGGCTACCTTCCCATTCAGCTTGTCGTTTGGCAGATGCCTCTCTTTACTTCAGATCAGAGAACATCCACCATACATGTGCATTAGAGATCTTACCTGAAGTGGATTTCATTCCCTACCCTGTGAATTGTAATGTAAACAAGTCAGTATTGTGCAACCAAGTGTTGGTAAATTAGACCCTATTCTCCAACTCGTAAACCATTTATCATTGTAGGTGTTCAAATCATATGAACATGAAGGAGTATCTCTCTTGGATACTGTGCCATGCCAAGGTTTAGGACTAGATTCTCAAGATCAACACAGCACACAATTCAGTGAATCCAGTCTTGAGTATTCTGCAGAGGGGAAAGATTGCTGCCATTTCAGCAATATTGGGTAATATATTTTTTCTTCCCATTGTATCCTAGAAGTGTCAAACCTGCTACCCAATTTGCCCAAGTGCCATGTCTTCATCCAAGTGCCTTAGTCTTTTGTTTTATTTCTTAATGATGCGATCAGGGCAGTGTTATTGCATCAACATTGCAAGTGGAATCTCTGGGGAATGCAATTGGACTACTGACTAGCTACAGTCTGACAGGGTTGAGGGTATAGCTGGTCTCTGTTGAGCATTGGATGGGCATAGGATCCAGCTTGTGTACAACATTAATAACACACCCACACATCAGTTTAGAAATGTCATTACAATACCTTAAGACTTTAAATAAGCCTTAAAAGTTTGTACACATTTAAGTTTAAGGAACCAAATATTTAAATATTGTATGAAGTTCCTTATTAAAAAGTAATGAAGGATTTGGATATGCATAATGGATTTCTGAGCAAGGCGATGTGTCTTTAGAAATGTTTTGAAGGTAAGAACACTGGATATTGAATAATGCAAGATGTCAACAGTTAGGCTAGCTGGCAACAGTATAGGCATTCTGAAACTTGTACATTATGGATGTGTGTATGATATGCTACATTAAACCTTATGGTATACTCAAGTGTGTTTTAACTGTAACTTGACAGATGTGAGTATGGTACTACTGTATATACGTGGGCATTGTGCAACATTGGGAGTGGAGCAAGAGAGTGGAACAACAGGACTTTATTGTACAAAAAGTTAATGAAAAAGACTGTTGCAAAAAAAAGGATCCAATCATACTGCTGCTCACCACACAATCTTAGTCGAAACATCAATAAGAGCTATATGTCAGTCAAGTGTTTAGGCTGCTGTTTTAATAAGCACATTTCAGGTTCATTATTTGGCATATTCTGAGTTGATAGAATACAGGCAGTAGATGACACCCTGTAGTAAGGTGACTTTATTCCCCATGAATATTACAGTTCCATGGAAAAGCTGGTACTGGCAACTGTTTGTGCGCGTGGTCCTCTCAGCCATCACTTGTTGCGCTTCAAGTAATCTTTCACCCAACCAAGACCTTCATTTGTAGAGCCTGAAATGACAGTTGATACTTAATACACACACACTGCCATTATCATGCCCCTAGCACACTCTGAATTATACATATGATGTATGAAGTGAGGCAAGAACCAGTTTAACCTACAATTTTGTAACAATGAATCGAACTGTAGTCCATTCTGATCTTTTTTTTTCACTAATTGGTCTTTTGACCAATCAGGTCAGCTCTTTAAAAGATCTAATGTGATTGGTCAAAATACCAAGTAGTGGATAAAATATCAGAATTGGGCTGCCTGTGTAAACGCAGCTTAAAGGTAGTTTAGTTAATTAAGACACCAATTAGTCCACCATTAAATGTGAGGGAGTACAGGGCAGAGTGCCAAATGGCATCCTATTCCCTATGGGCCCTGGTAAAAAGTTGTGCACTATACTTTTATAAGGAATAGTGTGCCATTTGGGATGGATCCCAGCTCTCACCTAGTGGTTTGTATTCACAGCCAATGTATCCCTGGTAACCCATCTCCTCCAGTAGACTGAAGAGGTATGGGAAGTTCAGTTCTCCTGCACTGTCTGGCTCGTTCCTGCTGGGCACCTGGGCTATCTGGATGTGACCTGTAAAAGAGAATGAGGGAAGAAAATTGATATTTCATTACCATTACAGAAATAACATTTTATACTACTATCATAGGTCAATCATGTGGACATGGATGCTTGGACACAATCTGATGTGCCCGATTTGCTGCTGATGGTATGGGACTAATACGTTATGTTTCCTGTGTAACTTGCTATCTGCACTAGTATCACAAACAACACCACTAACCAATGAGCGGGAAATATTTATGTATGTTCTGTGTCAAGTTGCCGTCCATTATCTGCCAGTGGAAGACGTCCTGCAGCACAGAGGGACACAAGATGGCTTCTGTCAGTAAGATTTAAGCAGTAGAATTTACAGGGATATGAAGAACCTCTCCACATTAAACTGCCTTAAAAAGCTGAGGGAATTCTCAGGTTATTGAATACAAACTAGGATAGGTTCTCCCAAGAGACAGACAGACTTTGCAAAGGCAAGTCCCTTCCTAGAACAAAATACTATGTCTAGTGGGACAAAAACAAACAAGATGTTTTGTTCTGTCTTCTGGCTATATGTTTGTCTGGCTCAGCCACTGGCTAAAAGTTTAACTCAACAACCAACTCAATAATTGCTCGGTGTGTATCTGAATCAACCATTAGTTCCAAACAGAGGAAAGATCTGTTTAGCCTGAGTGCCAGTCTGTTTCTGCCATCATGCCAAATCCTTGTTACACCAAACAATGAGCAATGATGTTGACAAGAACAGAAAGAGATCTTGGACCACTGACCAGGCTAGGATTTGTTGGCAGTAGACTAGGTAATAAAATATTACCTAGCACTATTAATGGCATTGTTCATCATCAAGATAAACTGACAGATACTTACCATCTGCAGTTTGATATTTGGCTGGCCAACTTTCTGCAGGATAGCAGCCGCTAGGGTGAAAGATTATACGAATAGGTTATAAACAGTATTAGTAATACAAATCCACTTGTGCAGTGAATGTTAACATTGGTTCACAGGTACACATTTAAATACTTATTCTAAACTGTAAGTCTTCATTTTGATTGCTTGTCTTTATAGGGCTAAGCCTAATACTATAGCCTGGAAATCATGCCATGCTTCAATATTGTTTCATTCAATCAGTTTTGATTCCCAGGCCACCTTGCCATGGAAAAGCATCACAAGCTGTTGAATTATCAAATCAAATTGTATTTGCCACATGTGCCAAATACAACAGGTGTAGACATTACAGTGAAATGTTTACTTACAAGCCCTTAACCAACAATGCATTTTATTTAATTGTTTTGTGTTAAGAAAAAATTATAAAAAGCAAATAACTAAAGAGCAGCAGTAAAATAAAATAACAGTAGGTAGGCTATATACAGGGGGGGTACAGGTGCAGAGTCAATGTGCGGGGGCACCGGGTAGTCCAGGTAAGAGGTAATATGTACATGTGGGTAGAGTTAGTGACTATGCATAAATAATAGATAGAGTAGCAGCAGCGTAAAAGAGGGGGGTGAGGGTGGGGGGGCAGTGCAAATAGTCCAGGTAGCAATGATTAGCTGTTCAGGAGTCTTATGGCTTGGGGGTAGAAGCTGTTGAGAAGCCTTTTGGACCTAGACTTGGAGCTCCGGTACCGCTTGCCGTGCGGTAGCAGAGAGAACAGTCTATGACTAGGGTGGCTGGAGTTTGACAATTTTGAGGGCCTTCCTCTGACACTGCCTGGTATAGAGGTCCTGGATGGCAGGAAGCTTGGCCCCAGTGATGTACTGGGCCGTACGCACTACCCTCTGTAGTGCCTTGCGGTCGGAGGCCGAGCAGTTGCCATACCAGGCGGTGATGCAACCAGTCAGGATGCTCTCGATGGTGCAGCTGTAGAACTTTTTGAGGATCTGAGGACCCATGCCAAATCTTTTCAGTCTCCTGAGGGGGAATAGGCTTTGTCGTGCCCTCTTCACGACTGTCTTGGTGTGTTTGGACCATGATAGTTCGTTGGTGATGTGGACACCAAGGAACTTGAAGCTCTCAACCTGTTCCACTACAGCCCCGTCGATGAGAATGGGGGCGTGCTCAGTCCTCTTTTTTCCTGTAGACCACAATCATCTCCTTTGTCTTGATCACGTTGAGGGAGAGGTTGTTATCCTGGCACCACACGGCCAGGTCTCGGACCTCCTCCCTATAGGCTGTCTCATCGTTGTTGGTGATCAGGCCTACCACTGTTGTCGTCAGCAAACTTAATGATGGTGTTGGAGTCGTGCCTGGCCATGCAGTCATGGGTGAACAGGGAGTACAGGAGGGGACTGAGCACGCACCACTGAGGGGCCCCCGTGTTGAGGATCAGCGTGGCAAATGTGTTGTTACCTACCCTTACCACCTGGGGGTGACCCGTCAGGAAGTCCAGGATCCAGTTGCAGAGGGAGGTGTTTAGTCCCAGGATCCTTAGCTTAGTGATGAGCTTTGAGGGCACTATGGTGTTGAACGCTCAGCTGTAGTCAATGAACAGCATTCTCACGTAGGTGTTCCTCTTGTCCAGTTGGAAAAGGGCAGTGTGGAGTGCAATAGAGATTGCATCATCTGTGGATCTGTTGGGGCGGTATGCAAATTGGAGTGGGTCTAGGGTTTCTGGGATAATGGTGTTGATGTGAGCCATGACCAGCCTTTCAAAGCACTTCATGGCTACATACGTGAGTGCTACGGGTCGGTAGTCATTTAGGCAGGTTATCTTAGTGTCCTTGGGCACAGGGACTATTGGTGGTCTGCTTGAAACATGTTGGTATGACAGACTCAGTCAGGGACATGTTGAAAATGTCAGTGAAGACACTTGCCAGTTAGTCAGCACATGCTCGGAGTACACGTCCTTGTAATCCGTCTGGCCCTGCAGCCTTGTGAATGTTGACCTGCTTAAAAGTCTTACTCACATAGTCATCCGGAACAGCTGGTGCTGTCATGCATGCTTCAGTGTTGCTTGCCTCGAAGCGAGCATAGAAGTGATTTAGCTCGTCTGGTAGGCTTGTGTCACTGGGCAGCTCGCGGCTGTGCTTCCTTTTGTAGTCTGTAATAGTTTTCAAGCCCTGCCACATCCGACGAGTGTCAGAGCCGGTGTAGTACGATTTAATCTTAGTCCGGTATTGACTCTTTGCCTGTTTGATGGTTCGTCGGAGGACATAGTGGGATTTCTTATAAGCGTCCGGGTTAGAGTCCCGCTCCTTGAAAGCGGCAGCTCTACCCTTTAGCTCAGTGCGGATGTTGCCTGTAATCCATGGCTTCTGGTTGGGGTATGTACGTACGGTCACTGTGGGGACGACGTCATGTACGTACGGTCACTGTGGGGACGACGTCATCGATGTGCTTATTGATGAAGCCAGTGACTGATGTGGTGTACTCCTCAATGCTATCTGAAGAATCCCGGAACATATTCCAGTCTGTGCAAGCAAAACAGTCCTGTAGCTTAGCATCTGCATCATCTGACCACTTTTTTATTAACCGAGTCACTGGTGCTTCCTGCTTTAGTTTTTGCTATAAGCAGAAATCAGGAGGATTGAGTTATGGTCAGATTTGCCAAATGGAGGGCGAGGGAGAGCTTTGTATGTGTCTCTGTGTGTGGAGTAAAGGTGGTCTAGAGTTTTTTTTTCCTCTGGTTGCACATTTAATATGCTGGTAGAAATTAGGTAGAACGGATTTAAGTTTCCCTGCATTAAAGTCCCCGGCCACTTGGAGCGCTGCTTCTGGATGAGCGTTTTCCTGTTTACTTATGGCCTTATACAGCTCATTGAGTGCAATCTTAATGCCAGCATTGGTTTGTGGTGGTAGATAGACAGGCACGAAAAATATAGATGAAAAGTATCTTGGTAAATAGTGTGGTCTACAGCTTATCAGTAGATACTCTACCTCAGGCGAGCAAAACCTAGAGACTTCCTTAGTATTAGATTTTGTGCACCAACTGTTGTTTACAAATATACACAGACCGCCACCCCTTGTCTTACCGGAGTCAGCCGTTCTATCCTGCCGATGTATATCCCATCAGCTGTATGCTGTCCATGTCGTCGTTCAGCCACGACTCGGTGAAACATAAGAGATTACAGTTTTTAATGTCCCGTTGGTAGGATAACCGTAATCTTAGGTCATCCAATTTGTTCTCAAATGATTGAAGATTGGCTAATAGGATTGATGGAAGAGGCAGTTTTACTCGCTCGCCGTCAGATCTTTACAAGGCACCCCGACCTACGTCCACGATATCTCTGTCTCTTTCTCATGCGAATGACGGGGATTTGGGCCTTGTCGGGTGTCTGTAGGATATCCTTCGCGTCCGGCTCATTGAATAAAAAATCTTCGTCCAATACGAGGTGAGTAATCGCTGTCCTGATATCCAGAAGCTCTTTTTGGTCATAAAAGACAGTAGCAGAAACATTATGTACATAATAAATTACAAATAACGCGAAAAAACATACATAATAGTACAATTGGTTAGAGGGCTGTAAAATGGCAGCCATCTTCTCCGGCGCCACTTCTTCAATTAGGACCAGCGCCTTACCCTGATGTGGACTGTCCAGGAAATATCTGGGATCTGTTATCCGTGTGTTGATGGGCTCAATCAGGCCAGTGATGCCTTCCTGAGAAAAAAGCACAACACAAAATGGGACTCCTTATTACAAACACTATGGGCCGGACACACATTAAACCTAGTCCTGGACTAAAAAGCCCCTTTAATGGAGATTCACATTTGAGAGGACATCGGCAGCATGTTTCAGGTTTTGAACAAAGGTGTCCTCCATTTCCACGGCAATGGTACCTCGGTCCGCCCCCACAGGTACCCTCCCAGCCATCAAGTGGATCCTGAGGAAACATTTAATTTATGAAAGGGTATAAATACCAACACACTTTACTTTATGGCAGGGTCCCCCAATAGGCGGCCCACTTAAAAATATATGCACACTGAACAAAAATATAAATCACAATATGCAACAATTTCAATGATTTTACTGAGTTACAGTTCATTAAGAAATCAGTCAATTGAAATAAATTCAAGGCCCTAGGCTATGGATTTCGCATGACTGGGCAGGGGCGCACTCACTTGGGAGCCAGTTTGACCCACTGGGGAGCCAGGCCCAGCCAATCAAAATTAGTTTTTCCCCACAAAAGGGCTTTATTACAGACAGAAATACTCCTCAGTTTCATAAGCTGTCTGGGTGGCTGGTCTCAGACGATCCCGCAGGTGAAGAAGCCGGATGTGGAGGTCCTGCGCTGGCGTGGTTACACGTGGTCTCCGGTTCTGAGGCCAGTTGGACGTACTGCCAAATTCTCTGAAACTACGTTGGAGGCAGCTTATGGTAAAGAAATGAGCATTCACTTCTCTGGCAAGAGCTCTGGTGGACAGTCCTGCAGTCAGCATGCCAACTGCACACTCCCTCAAAACTTGAGACATCAGTGGCATTGTGTGACAAAACTGCACATTTTAGAGTGGCCTTTTATTGTCCCCAGCACAAGGTGCACCTGTGTAATGATCATGCTGTTTAATCAGCTTCTTGATATGCCACACCTGTCAGGTGTATGGATTATCTTGGCAAAGGATAAATGCTCACTAACAGGGATGTAAACAAATTTGTGCACAATAAGCTTTATTTGTGTATGGAACATTTCGGGGATCTTTTTGTCCGGCTCATGAAACATGGTACAAACACTTTACATGTTGCATATAGATATGCAGTGCATTTTTCCTTCATCAATCTACACACAATACCCCATAATGACAAAGCAAAAACTGTTGACATTTTTGCTAATTTATCAAATAAAATAAAACTGAAATATCACATTTACATAAGTATTCAGACCCTTTACTCACTACTTTGTTAAAGCACATTTGGCAACGATTACAGCCTCGAGCCTTCTTGGGTATGATGCTACAAGCTTAGCACACCTGTATTTGGGGAGTTTCTCCCATTCTTCTCTGCAGATCTCTCAAGGGGTCTGAATACTTCCGAATGCACTGTGTGTGTGTTTGTATATATATATATACAGTGGGGAGAACAAGTATTTGATACACTGCCGATTTTGCAGGTTTTCCTACTTACAAAGCATGTAGAGGTCTGTAATTTTTTATCATAGGTACACTTCAACTGTGAGAGATGGAATCTAAAACAAAAATCCTGAAAATCACATTGTATGATTTTTAAGTAATGAATTAGCATTTTATTGCATGACATAAGTATTTGATCACCTACCAACCAGTGGTCCTCTGCAGCTCAGCTGGTAGAGCACGGCGCTTGTAACGCCAAGGTAGTGGGTTCGATCCCCGGGACCACCCATACACAAAAAAATGTATGCACGCATGACTGTAAGTCGCTTTGGATAAAAGCGTCTGCTAAATGGCATATTATTATTTATTATTATCAGTAAGAATTCCTGCTCTCACAGACCTGTTAGTTTTTCTTTAAGAAGCCCTCCTGTTCTCCACTCATTACCTGTATTAACTGCACCTGTTTGAACTTGTTACCAGTATAAAAGACACCTGTCCACACACTCAAACAGACTCCAACCTCTCCACAATGGCCAAGACCAGAGAGCTGTGTAAGGACATCAGGGATAAAATTGTAGACCTGCACAAGGCTGGGATGGGCTACAGGACAATAGGCAAGCAGCTTGGTGAGAAGGCAACAACTGTTGGTGCAATTATTAGAAAATGGAAGAAGTTCAAGATGACGGTCAATCACCCTCGGTCTGGGGCTCCATGCAAGATCTCACCTCGTGGGGCATCAATGATCATGAGGAAGGTGAGGGATCAGCCCAGAACTACACGGCAGGACCTGGTCAATGACCTGAAGAGAGCTGGGACCACAGTCTCAAAGAAAACCATTAGTAACACACTACGCCGTCATGGATTAAAATCCTGCAGCGCACGCAATGTCCCCCTGCTCAAGCCAGCGCATGTCCAGGTCCGTCTGAAGTTTGCCAATGACCATCTGGATGATCCATAGGAGGAATGGGAGAAGGTCATGTGGTCTGATGAGACAAAAAGAGAGCTTTTTGGTCTAAACTCCACTCGCTGTGTTTGGAGGAAGAAGAAGGATGAGTACAACCCCAAGAACACCATCCCAACCGTGAAGCATGGAGGTGGAAACATCATTCTTTGGGGATGCTTTTCTGCAAAGGGGACAGGACGACTGCACCATACTGAGGGGAGGATGGATGGGGCCATGTATCGCGAGATATTGGCCAACAACCTCCTTCCTTCAGTAAGAGCATTGAAGATGGGTCGTGGCTGGGTCTTCCAGCATGACAACGACCCGAAACACACAGCCAGGGCAACTAAGTAGTGGCTCCGTAAGAAGCATCTCAAGGTCCTGGAGTGGCCTAGCCAGTCTCCAGACCTGAACCCAATAGAAAATCTTTGGATGGAGCTGAAAGTCCGTATTGCCCAGCGACAGCCCCGAAACCTGAAGGATCTGGAGAAGGTCTGTATGGAGGAGTGGGCCAAAATCCCTGCTGCAGTGTGTACAAACCTGGTCAAGACCTACAGGAAACGTATGATCTCTGTAATTGCAAACAAAGGTTTCTGTACCTAATATTAAGTTCTGCTTTTCTGATGTATCAAATACTTATGTCATGCAATAAAATGCAAATTAATTACTTCGAACAATGTGATTTTCTGGATTTTTGTTTTAGATTCCGTCTCTCACGGTTGAAGTGTACCTATGATAAAAATTAGACCTCTACATGCTTTGTAAGTAGGAAAACCTGCAACATGGGCAGTGTATCAAATACTTGTTCTCCCCACTGTGTGTGTGTGTGTGTATATATATATATATATATATATATATATATATATATATATATATATATATATATATATATATATATATATATGGGCCTCTGTATGCCTATGTAGATATTCCATTTAAAAAAATAAGCAGTTTCCAGCTACAATAGCCATTTACAATATTAACAATGTCTACACTGTATTTCTGATCAATTTGATGTTATTTTAATGGAATATTTTTTTTTTGCTTTTCTTTTGAAAAAGGACATTTCTAAGTGACCCCAAACTTTTGAACGGTAGTCGGTAGTGTGTGTGTGTATGTATGTATGTATGTATGTATGTATGTATGTATGTATACACACTACCAGTCAAAAGTTTGGACACCTACTCATTCATGGGTTTTTCTTTATGTTTACTATTTTTTACGTTGTAGAATTATAGTGAAGACATCAAAACTATGAAATAACACATATGGAATCATGTAGTAAACAAAAAAAGTGTTAAATCAAACTATATTTTATATTTGAGATTCTTCAAATAGCCACCCTTTGCCTTGATTACTTTTCCCTTATTTTGTTACGTTACAGCCTCATTCTAAAATGGATTAAATAAATACAAACCCTCATCAATCTACACACAATACCCCATAATGACAAAGTGAAAACTGTTTTTTTAGACATTTTTGCACATTTATTAAAAATGTATTTATTTACATAGGTATTCAGACCCTTTGCTCTGAGACTCGATAATTGAGCTCAGGTGCATCCTGTTTCTATTGATCATCCTTGTTGTTTCTACAACTTGACTGGAGTCCACCTGTGGTAAATTCAATTGAGTGGACATGATTTGGAAAGGCACACACCTGTTTATATAAGGTCCCACAGTTGACAGTGCATGTCAGAGTAAAAACCAAGCCATGAGGTCGAAGGAATTGTCCGTAGAGCTCCCAGACAGGATTGTGTCGAGGCACAGATCTGGGGAAGGGTACCAAAAAATGTCTGCAGCATTGAAGGTCCCCAAGAACACAGTGGCCTCCATCATGCTTAAATGGAAGAAGTTTGGAACCACCAAGACTCTTCCTAGAGCTAGCTGCCCGGCCAAACTGAGCAGTTGGGGGAGAAGGGCCTTGGTCAGGGAGGTGACCAAGAACCCGATGGTCACTGACAGAGCTCCAGAGTTCCTCTGTGGAGATGGGAGAACCTTCCAGATGGACAACCATCTCTGCAGCACTCAACCAATCACGTCTTTATGTTAGAGTGGCCAGATGGACGCCAACCCTCAGTAAAAGGCACATGACAGCCTGCTTGGAGTTTGCCAAAAGAAACCAAGAATTAACTCTTTGGCCTGAATGCCAAGCGTCATGTCTGGAGGAAACCTGGCACCATCTCTACGGTGAAGCATGGTGGTAGCAGCATCATCATGCTGTGGGGATGTTTTTCAGTGTCAGGGACTGGGAGACTAGTCAGGATCGAGGGAAAGATTAACGGCGCAAAGCACGGAGAGATCCTTGATGAAAACCTGCACCAGTGCGCTCAGGACCTCAGACTGGGCGAAGTTTCAACTTCCAACAGGACAACGACCCTAAGCACACAGCCAAGACAACGCAGGAGTGGCTTCGGGACAAGTCTCAATGTCCTTGAGTGGCCCAGCCAGAGCCCGGACTTGACCCCCGATTGAACATCTCTGGAGAGACCTGAAAATAGCTGTGTAGCGACGCTCCCCATCCAACCTGACAGAGCTTGAGAGGATCTGCAGAGAAGAACAGGAGAAACTCCACAAATACAGGTGTGCCAAGTATGTAGCGTTATACCCAAGAAGACACAAGGCTGTAATCGCTGCCAAAGTATTGAATAAAGGGTCTGAATATTTATGTAAATGTGATAGCAAATGTATATATTTTTAAAAAGCTAACATTTCTAAAAACCTGTTTTTGCTTTGTTATTTTTTGGGTAGTGTGTAGATTGATGAGCAAAAAAAATAAAAGTTATACATTTTAGAATAAGGCTGTATCGTAACAAAATTTGGAAAAAGTCAAGGGGTCTGAATACTTTCCGAATGCACTGTATTCTGTTCTATTTGTTTATTATTTTGTTATTTTCTCTGTCTTGTTTCGTTTTTTTTTTTTACACAGAAACCTTTTATGCATGGCATTTCTCAGTTGACTAGCTTTTGCTGATAAGTCCCTCTACCCCCACATCAATAGACAACGGGTCCCTATAACAAACTGCACCACCATGACTGGATATAGTTGCGCGGTGTAGGGAAATGGTGCGTTTTGTTTGGGCTCAAATCAGAGGAGAAACTAAATGTATTTTTAAAAGAAGTCAGTTTTTCAATAGTGTCAATAACGGTTTTATCCTTCCCCTGTAGTCCCAAATTAAGTCCCTTCAATTGATTGAAGATGTCACAAAAAATAAAAACATCTGATATGAACTCCTCATCAAGCATTTTCGCTAGATAGTGCCTTCAGAAAGTTCATGCCCCTTGACTTGTTCCACATTTTGTTGTGTTACAGCCTGAATTCAAAATTGATTAAATCAAATGTTTTTTTCTCACCCACCTACACACAATACCCCATGATGACAAAGTGAAAACATGTTTGCTAATTTATTGAAAATGAAATAAATACATATCTAATTTACATAAGTATTCACACCCCTGAGTCAATACTTTGTAGAAGCGCCTTTGACAGCAATTACAGCTGTAAGTCTTTCTGGGTAAGTCTAAGAGCTTTCCACACCTGTATTGTGCAACATTTGCCCATTATTATTTTCAAAATTCTTCAAGCTCTGTCAAATTGGTTGTAGATCATTGCTAGACAACCATTTTTAGGTCTTGCCATAGTTTTGACTTAAATCTGCTTGAAAATATAACTCAGCCACTCAGGAACATTCACAGTCTTCTTGTAAGCAACTCCAGTGTAGATTTGACCTTGTATTTTAGGTTATTGTCCTGCTGAAAGGTGAATTAATCTCCCAGTGTCTGGTGGAAAGCAAACTGAACCAGGTTTTCTTCTAGGATTTTGCCTGTGCTTTGCTCCATTCCGTAAATATTTTATCCTGAAAAACTTCCCAGTCCTTAACGATTACAAGCATACCCATAACATGATGCAGCCACCACTATGCTTGAAAATATGCAGAGTGGTACTCAGTAATGTCTTGTATTGGATTTGCCCCAAACATAACACTTTGTATTCAGGACAAAAAGTGAATTGCTTTGCCACATTTGTTGCAGTATTACTTTAGTGCCTTGTTGCAAACAGGATGCATGTTTTGGAATATTTAATTCTGTACAGTCTTCCTTCTTTTCACTCTGTCAATTAGGTTATTATTGTGGAGTAACTACAATGTTGATCCATCCTCAGTTTTCTCCTATCACAGCCATTAAACTCTAACTATTTTAAAGTCCCATTGGCCTCATGGTGAAATCCCTCAGTGGTTTCCTTCCTCTCCGGCAACTGAGTTATGAAAGACACCATCCAAAGTGTAATTAATAACTTTACCATGCTCAAAGGGATATTAAATGTCAGTATTTTTTTTTTTTACCCATCTACCAGTAGTTGCCCTTTGTGAGGCATTGGAAAACCTCCCTGGTCTTTGTGGTTGAATCTGTGTTTGAAATTCAATGCTCGACTGAGGGACCTTACAGATAATTGTATGTGTGGGGTAAAGAGATGAGGCAGTCATTTAAAAATCATGTTAAATACTATTATTGTCCATGCAACGTATGTGACTTGTTAAGCAAATGTTTACTCCTGAACTTATTTAGGCTTGCCATAACAAAGGGGTTGAATACTTATTGACTCAAGACATTTCAGCTTTTCATTTTTTTTAATGTCTAAAAACATAATTCCACTGACATTATGGGGTATTATCTGTAGGCCAGTGACAAAAATCTAAATTTAATCAATTTTAAGGGTGTAACAACAAAATGTGGGAAAAGGGGTATGATTACTTTCTGAAGGCAATCGCAGAGAAAAGCAACCATCTCCACCCTAAGCTCACATACAGGCTGCTCTCTTGACAGCATTATTACCCTTGCTTAGCCACCGAACATCATTATGTAAAAGTAGATCATGATGCTCAGCAGACTACGAAACAAGTGATGTTGCAGGCAAGATGTTGATCAGATAAAGTTTATGATAGCCATAACTGAGTCCATGGTGTTTTAACGTATCGCTGAGTTAAGCGCAAAGCACACACTATCAGGCAGTGTAGTGATCTCATCTGCAGTGACAGCGCCGATAGGCGGGCAAACAGACAGTGTACCCATTAGTAGCTTTGATTGGCTGTAACTGGTATGTTGGGTGATATTGATTGACAGCCCTTAATGGGCAGGACTACAGGAACACAGATTCTCCCATTGGAGAATATTGAACAAGGGCTCCCTTTGGCACTAAACATCACATTTCTGCAGGGATAAATAAAAATGTTCAGAATTTATCAAAGTGCCATTCTACAATTGATAAACGGGCCAGATCTGGCCCACAGTCGCCAGTTGAATAGCCCTGGCATACAGTGAAGCTGTTTGTCACCTGATGCATTGTATAGTCGGCTACAGATGAGCTGTGCTGTCAATCAATGTGTGCGTGACTGTGTGTTTCGCTCTCACCTCCTGCAGTCCAGAGCCTTGGCGTACTGCATGGCCAGATCCAGACCCTTTCTGAAGTCCTCCTCTCTGCCAGGAACAGCACCCAGACCAAGATCACCTGCCTTAGCATCGCCTACAAAACACAGTTATGTCAAGTCAATGTTCAGAATAAATAGTAGCACATTCTTGTGGATCAGTGGGTTGAGTTTCCTTCCAAATGGCAACATATTTATTGATTTTGTATCGTATATAGTTAGTACAGTAGCCTGGGCTGCTGTCAACACTAACATGAAAATAGCTAGCTGTTTACACCAGTACCACCTCTCTGTCTTACCAAGAGGTGTGTTGATCAGCACCACATCAACCCCAGTAGCATTCTTGACTCTCTGGAGCTCCTGTAAGTCAGAGTCATACAGCCATGCTGCCTCCACAGCCTGAAACCCAGCCGACGCTGCAGCGTAGATTCTCTGGGTAAACTCTGGCAGGTCCGTAAACAACCACGAAAGATTCGCGCAGAATTTTAATGGGGGCATTTTTCTTGTGGGGTAAGTTAGCAAGCTAACGTTAGTCCGCTAGCTAATGTTCGATGGGTCAACCGCTCTAAATAGCTAGCTAGCTAGCTACCTCGCTAGCTATAATAGCTGTGTTAAAACTCAAGGTCCATTGGTTCAGCTGTCACCTGATGTTATTTGTTTCTCATGTGATGTCAAATATTGATATAACCGAGGTGCCAGAGTGGAGCGCTAGCTAGCCAGAAAAGTCCCTGCTTCTCTGTACTGATACTCACATGTTGCGCATGCGCACAACGAAACAAATCGTTTAACGACGCGCGTGCAGTTTGGTGGTCAATTACCAAATCAGTGATTTTGATTTACAGCCAGGGTTGCCAAGTTCGCTGTTTTCCAGTGAATTGGGTTCTTTGAAAACAATGTGGTGTGTGAAAATGTATTTGTTGCAGGTAGCGTTTTTTTTGTCTACTTCTAAATTGCACGGCGGCCACCATGGACATTTCTTACAAATATATATTTCACTGTGACCTACTGCTGCCTACTATCAGGCAGTGAGGCAACCATGGACATTTCTTTAAAATATATATTTCACTGTGACCGGCTGTTGCCTACTATCAGGCAGTGAGGCAGCCTGTTTCTGAGCGAGCGAGTGAGAACAGCACGCACGTCTTGACAACGTTTTACCAGTTATTTAGATTGTCATTATGGAGATACTTATTTCCAACCCTTTTTCCATAAAACATATTAATGCACTAGCACTGTTGTACATCAAGATATAACGGTGACAGAGCACAGGAAAACTACTTTAGGCGCTCTAGAGCACATTAGATAAATTCGCTCAGAGGTGGTTTAAACTGCATTTTAATGTCTACTTAGCTTATGGAAAACCATACGAAGCGAAGTGTTTTACTCATGCTCAGTTCTTAGGTCTCGAGCAATTGGAAATTTGAAATGGAAGTTATGTAACTTCCTCGTGTGCTTCTGTTATGGGTAAAATACCACAATGAAACTGACATTAAATGTGGAGAATGATACATTTGCATCTGTTGGCCATCAATTAGCCTGTTAATTTCTATGCCATTTTATACAGTAAATATGTTGAAATGACGATATCACTGGAGTTATTGCAAATCAATTTGTGCCTCTTTTGTAACCTACCTGGAGCTGGCAAACGGATTTAATAAATAGCTTATAACTTCAGTTTATTGTTGTTGTAGCGTTGTGTTATTATACATTATTAATGGACATGTTTAGTTAATGAAATTGGAAGTTATTGTGATCATGGTCACAGTTCTATCGCAACTGCGGACAGACACTTCAGAAGAAACTTCCTTTTGAATTTGTTTTGGGGGACTATATGTTGTTCCATGTAGTGAATATGTTATTCAATGCGTTTGTATGGGCTAATAGCAGTAAGGCCAAAAATAATTTTTTCATGAAATACTTTTTATATATATTTTGTTTTATACTTCAAGGGTTCATAAAATTCAAAATTCAATATCAAAATGATTATTGGGATGACCTTCTTAAATCAGTGCTTAATTTGAGCCGCACCTCTCAGATTTTACTGTATTTTCCGGCACATTACATCTCGCGGCATAATTTATTAATTATTTAACTGTTCGCACTGTAGACATTCTAATAAAAGCGATCAGCATTAAATCAATTTGCCTCCTCGTTATTGCTCCCGCCCCCCAGAAAGACCATCATGTAAAAGCCCAGTGATCCTTCTATGGCATCATCTAATCCTGCCACACTGATTCCAGACCTGCTCTCTTATTTGTAGACAGGTTATTGGGAGGTAGTGGTGGTCAGCTAGTGAAGAGATCCCTATGGAATCACGTCACGTAGCCTAGTCTAGTCGTCTCCCTACTGAATTTGAATCTTGGGAAAGCCACACATTTTTTTTGATACAAAGGCAATCGAGTTTGACATTTTTGAAGTCCAAAAATCTGAGCAAGATGGTGAATCGAAACCAGAACGAGCCAGATAACTATCAGTGCCGGAGGAGAGTAGTGAGGGGCAAACTGTTCCTGATGCCGATCCTAATCCCGCCAGTTCAGCATCACCACCTGCAGCTCCACATGACGAAGTGCTCGGAGCTGGTGCAATTTGCAGTTCAAGAACAAGCAAACGTATAACCCCTGGCTTGTCATGAAACGACTGAATGGATTAAACTATCAAAAGAGTGTGTGGAATGTACAGTAAATTAACATCCTATGCACCAGACATAAAAAACAACAACAAAGAGCCCTCAGAAAAAAGGTTTTTGAACATGTCTGAACCAAGGCGTTTTTGGTGGCAGCAAGCCTTGTAGACAAGGCTAAAGAGGACACCCAGGTTAACACTCAAAATGAAAATAAAATAGACACTAGAGCCAGAGTACAGAACAGCCTTAGAGGGAGGCTAAACATTACAGCCACATGCCCGCTCATGGCTTTGAGCAAGAAGTTGACTATCAGGAGTTAAATGGACTTGACATGGGGAGAGTCATTGTGGGAGGTTTTGAAAACTAAGGTAGGATTTTTTTTTCCTTTACAGCACAAATTTGTAATCCAATTGACATTTTAGTCATTTAGCAGATGCTCTTATCCAGAGCGACTTCCAATTAGTTAGTGCATACATTTTTCATACGGGCCCCCCGTGGGAAACGAACCCACAACCCTTGCGTTGCAAGCACCATGCTCTACCAACTGAGCTACAGGAGGGCCACATAGTCAGAATATGTGCTTCATATTATAACATAGGCAGGAGGCCTATATATTCTCATATGTGTGTTCTAATGTAGCCTACACTGATTTATTGTATTTGAAGTTATATTCCGATATTGTGATATTTGTTCTACTGCTACATTGATGTCTTGTAAGCCCCACAGCTGAGTATGTGTGCATATGGTGGGTGTTCTGCAGTGTCGTCTTAAAATGTTGCTGTACATTGATGTCTAGGAAATTAGGCTATCCTTTTTTTTATTTTTTATTATGTAACAGTGTTACTTCCGTCCCTCTCCTCGCCCCTACCTGGGCTTGAACCAGGGACCCTTTGCACACATCGACAACAGTCACCCTCGAAGCACATTTACCCGTCGCTCCACAAAAGCCGCGGCCCTTGCAGAGCAAGGGAAACAACTACTTCAAGGTCTCAGAGCGAGTGACGTCACCGATTGAAATGCTACTAGCACGCACCGCTAACTAGCTAGCCATTTCACACCGGTTACACTCACCCCCCTTTTGACCTCCTCCTTTTCCGCAGCAACCAGTGATCCGGGTCACGGCACCAATGTAACAGTGTTGCTTTCTTCCCTCTCCTCGCCCCTACCTGGGCTTGACCCAGGGACTCTCTGTACACATTGACAACAGTCACCCTCGAAGCACCGTTACCCGTCGCTCCACAAAAGCAGCGGCCCTTGCAGAGCAAGAGAAACAACTACTTCAAGGTCTCAGAGCGAGTGACGTCACCGATTGAAATGCTACTAGCGCGTACCGCTAACTAGCTAGCCATTTCACACCGGTTACAATTATACAAAATTATCAACAACGAAAAAAGTGTTAAACAAATCCAAATATATTTTATATTTGAGATTCTTCAAAGTAGCACACTTTGCCTTGATGACAGTTTTGCATACTCTTGGCATTCTCTCAACCAGCTTCATGAGGTAGTCACCTGGAATGCATTTAAGTTAACAGGTGTGCCTTGTTAAAATGTGTTTGAGCCAATCAGTTGTGTTGTGACAAGGTATGGGTGGTATACAGAAGAGAGCCATATTTGGTAAAAGACCAAGTCCATATTATGGCAAGAACAGCTCAAATAAGCAAAGAGAAACCACAGTCCATCATTACCTTAAGACATGAAGGTCAGTCAATCCGGAAAATGTCAAGAACTTTGAAAGATTCTTAAATTGCAGTCGCAAAAACCATCAAACGCTATGATGAAACTGTCTCTCATGAGCACCGCCACAGGAAAGGAAGACCCAGAGTTACCTCTGCTGCAGAGGATAAGTTCATTAGAGTTACCAGCCTCAGAAATTGAAGCCCAAATAAATGCTTCACAGAGTTCAAGTAACAGACACATCTCAACATCAATAGTTCAGATGAGACTGCGTGAATCAGGCCTTCATGGTCGAATTGCTGCAAAGAAACCAATACTAAAGGACACCAATAATAAGAAGAGACTTGCTTGGGCCAAGAAACACAAGCAATGGACATTAGACCGGTGTAAATCTGTCCTTTGGTCTGATGAGTCCAAATTTGAGATTTTTGGTTCCAACCGCTGTGTCTTTGTGAGACGCAGAGTAGGTGAACAGATGATTTCCGCATGTGGTTCACACCGTGAAGCATGGAGGAGGAGGTGTGGGGTACTTTGCTTGTGACACTGTCTGTGATTTATAATATAATATGCCATTTAGCAGACGCTTTTATCCAAAGCGACTTACAGTCATGCGTGCATACATTTTTGTGTATGGGTGGTCCCGGGGATCGAACCCACTACCTTGGCGTTACAAGCACCGTGTTCTACCAGCTGAGCTACAGAGGACCACATTTATTTAGAATTCAAAGCACACTTAACCAGCATGGCTACCACAGCGTTCTGCAGCGATATGCCATCATCATCTGGTTTGCGCTTTGTGGGACTATCATTTGTTTTTCAACAGGACAATGACCCAACACACCTCCAGGCTGTGTAAGGGCTATTTCACCAAGAAGGAGAGTGATGGAGTACTGCATCAGATGACCTGGCCTCCACAATCACCCAACCTCAACCCAATTAAGATGGTTTGGGATGAGTTGGACCGCAGTGTGAAGGAAAAGCAGCCAACAGGTGCTCAGCATATGTGGGAACACCTTCAAGACTGTTGGAAAAGCATTCCAGGTGAAGCTGGTTGAGAGAATGCCAAGAGTGTGCAAAGCTGTCATGAAGGCAAAGGGTGGTTACTTTGAATGGGTATTGTGTGTAGATTGATGAGGGTTTGTATTTATTTAATCAATTTTAGAATGAGGCTGTAACGTAACAAAATAAGGGAAAAGTAATCAAGGCAAAGGGTGGCTATTTGAACAATCTCAAATATAAAATATATTTTGATTTAACACTTTTTTTGGTTACTACATGATTCCATATGTGTTATTTCATAGTTTTGATGTCTTCACTATTATTCTACAATGTAGAAAATAGTACATTTCAGCAGACGCTCTTATCCAGAGCAACTTACAGTTAGTGAGTGCATACATCATTGTTTTTTCATACTAGCCCCCCGTGCGAATTGAACCCACAATCCTGGTG